ATGGCAGCCTCCCCACCTTCAGCAGGAGAGCAATTTGGATGAAAGGTTGCCTGCAACAGTTGATACTTTAGAAACACTTGCAGATTTAAAAATACACTGTTAATTTGGGGCTGCGGGCCTGGTGCGGGCCGCAGGCACGTTCAGATCCCCCTCTACATCCAAAAATATTAGCCAATATTTTGGCACTGGATTGTTGTAACAATCTCTAGAATCATAAATATCAGGCAGTCAGCTCGGATCAGCTCATTTGCATTAAAAAGCTGATGAAACAGCTCAGCACAGCCACCAAAAAATTGCATCACAGTGCACTTCCATCGAATCGACTTTGGGAGCTACCAAAAATTCAACAATGTGAACGACTCGATACTTGGGTTAAAAAAGGGCTACAAAATGGTGCACATCAAAACACGAGAGACAGCCCCGATCCCGGCGAGGGCATCACCAACACCAGCCCTCCAGGATAAAAACACGCAGCGAGAGAGGGAGCCGTCTGAAGGCGAGGAAGATAAGGGAGGTTTCGGCTCGGCTTTGGGATGTCACGAGTGGGGAGAGGGAAGAGAAAGTTCCCCGAGATGTGGGGCTGGAAGGAGCAGGGGCAGGAGACGAGAAGGCAGGAGATGAGAGGCGGGCAGCGGGGAGAAAGGAGGAAAAGTTGGGAGGCAGGGAAAGGGAAGGAAAAGGCGAGTTGCAGGGAGGATACTATCCAGGAAGAAAGCGGAGGGAGGGGCGAGGCGAGACAGACAGCGATGGAGGGGGAACCAGAGGGGCATGGGAGAGTTGGCTGCTCCAGGCAGGGCCTACTCCGAGGGCTCATCCAACAGAAGCTCTGCTAAAAATGGCTGCTTTGCTTCCACTGCCCCTTCCCCCTCCCCCAGAGCTCGGCTCCCTTCCCTCCCGTGTCCCCGGGCGGCTGCGAGCCCGGGGCCGCCACTCACCAGGCAGAAGAGGTTGGAATGGCAATCCTCCAGGCTGGCCCCGTTCGGCACGAAGCAGGAACTCATCCTCACAGCCACAACCCACACGCCATTATCCCACAGCCTCCGACAAGAAAGAAAGAGACAGCCAGGGAGAGAGAGAGAGAGAGAGAGAGAGGGGGAGAGAGGGAGAGACAGACAGCGAGAGGGAAAGGGGGAGGGGGGCTCCGCACACGCACAAATAATAATACAATTAAATAAGGGATTTACACACGCGCGCACGCGAAATAGTGGCAGGGGGAATAGGACGAGAGAGGCGAGGGGGGGGTTAAAAAAATATATTAAAAAAATTATTAAAAAAAAATAATTTTTTTTAAAGGAAGTCAGAACGTTTTCTCGTCTTCTGGAGATTCACCGAGGGGGGGGGGGGTAAAGCCACGGTGGAAGGGGAGAACAGAAAGAGGGAGGTGGTAAGTAATCCAGCGACGGGAGATTAAGATCAAAATCCTCCCTGTTCCTCTTGTCTTCTCGTTCGCATAAGGAGGGGAGGGAGAGGAGGTGAAGGGGTGATTGATCCAACAAGAGAATAAAAATGGGGTAATTAATCCGGGGGGGCTAGGGGTAAAAATCAGTTGACATCCCTCCTTCCTCTCTTCTCAGATGCCAAGCAAGAGAAGTAGGAAAACATAAATAATCCAGCGGGGGTAATTAATCCAGAACCCCCCCTCCTCTTCCTCCTGTTCCTTTAGTCATCAGACGAGAAAGGGGCAAATTGTGGAATGACTGGGAAGGATTGGCCGTGGGAGAGAGAAAAATCCAGGCTCGTCTCTTCGGAGTCCGAGGGCAACAGGGTGTGGGGGGGTCAGATTCTTCTCCCTTGCTCCAAAAAATATTCCAAATAAATTAAAATTTAAAAGCATAAAAACAAACTTCAGGGGCCAGAAGCAAGGCCAGTCTGAAGAATTCGTAAAGGCAGAACGAGAAAAATTTCCTGGGGTGTACCCCAAAAAAACATCTGCGGGGGCAGGGGAGGGGGGAAGGTATTCCTTGAGAGAGAAAGGCCGCAAAAGTCTCCTCGGCAGCCCAGCGGGGGATTAAATTCCCGTGTGGAAAACACCCCCCTTTCCCCAAAACGAAACAGTCTTCGCAGCGAGGCCGAAACCAAAATACCCTCCGTCGGGTAAGAAAAAAAAAAAAAATCCTTCCGTGGGGAAAGGAGGGAGGGGGAGAGGGGTGGAAGGAGGAAATTGCGGGTGACCCTCGAAGTCTCTCCGGGGAAGGATGGAGGAGTCTCCGGGAGGCCGATCCCCGTCGGGGGAGGAGGACGGGGCGAATCGCAGAGTGTCTTCGGGGGGGGCTGGTCCCCCCCAGCTGTCCGCGGGGGCCGGGGGACCCCCGAAAGTCTCTGGAGGGAGCGCGGAGCCCGCCGAGTCACCGCGGGCAGCGGGGAGGAGACCCCCGCCAGAGCCCGGGGGGCGGCGGGGCGGGGAGGGATCAGCCCCGCGGCGAGGCCGGTCCTTCAAAAAATAACGAGGAAAAAAAAAAAAAAGGAGAGAGAGAGGGAAAAAAAAAAAAAAAAAAAGGAAAAAAGGGGGGAGGGGGGAAGAGGAGGAGGAGAAAAATATGAAGCGATGGTCTTGGTCCGGCGCGGCGCGTCCCGCGGGGGGCAGCCCGACACCCCCCGCTCTCCTCAGGTGCGGGTCCCGCGGGGGCGGAGGGGCCCCCTCCCCGGGGCTCCCGGGCAGGGCGGGGAGGCGGCGGCCGAGCCCCGGGCTCTGCTCAGCCCCGAGGGGGTCGGAGCCCCGCAATTCCCGGCGCCGCCGACACACACAGGGACGCGGCGGCCGCCGCCGCTGCTGCTGCTGCTGCCGCTGGCGGAGTCGCTGCCCGCGAAGCCCCCGCCGGCGCGTCGCCCTCCCCTCAGCGGTGCCTCTGTCGGCGGCTGCCCGGCCGCGGCATCGTGTGGCGGCGGGAGCCCTGGGCGCGGGTCCCGCACGGCCGGGGCGGGAGCGGCTCCGGCTCCCGGCTAATTCCGAGACCCTTTTTCTTTAATGGCGGCCACAGGGACGGCGGCCGGGGCCCCCCTGCCGCGCTCCCATTGGCCGCCGCGCCGTCACGTGGGCGCGCTCCGCCATGGCGGCGGGGGGGGCGGGAGCGCGCAGCGGCCGCCAGGGGAGCGCGCGGCGCTGCCGAGCCCCTCCCTGCCCGTTGGGCCGGCGCCATCTAGCGGGGCCGGCCGGGAACGGCGCGGGGACCGCGGGGCCGCGGGTTCGAGTCCCGCCTCGGCCCGGCCCGCGGCTCCTCGCGGGGTGGGCCGGGTCGGAGGGGCCACGGTGGGTCACGGAACCACGGAATGACAGAGCAGAAGACCTCTGAGGTCATCGAGTCCAACCTTTGACCCAGCACCACCTTGTCACTGAGTGCCACTTCCAGTCTCTGCCTAAACACCTCCAGGGCCAGTGAATCCACCACCTCCCTGGGCCCATTCCAGTGTCTGGTCACTCCCTCTGTAAAGAATTTCTTCCCAATGTCCAACCTAAACCTCCCCTGGCACAGCCTCCTTGTCCTATTGCCTGGGAGCAGAGCCCAACTCCCCCATCGCTCCCCTTTCCTTTCAGGGAATTCCTTCCAGGGTGTGAGGTCTCCCCTGAGCCTCTCCAGGCTGAACAACCCCAGCTCCCTCAGCCTCTCCTCGTAGGACTTGTTGCCCTTCTCAGGACCTGCTCCAGCCCCTCCACGTCCTTCCTGAGCTGAGTGCCCAGAATTAGACACAGCACTCCAGGGGTGGCCTCCCCAGCGCTGAGTGCAGGGCAGGAATCCCTTCCCTGCTGCTGCTGCCACCCCATTCCTGAGCCAGGCCAGGATCCATCGGCCTCCTTGGCCAGCTGGGCACACTCTGGCTCGTGTTCAGCTTCCTGTCAGCAATCTGTCCCACCTCCCAGAGCTCATGGCACAGGGAATATCTGCAGTGATGGAGACTCCACAGCCCCTCTGGGCAGTGTGTTCCAGCGCTCGGTCACTGCACAGGGAAGCTCTTCCTCATGTTCAGGTGGATCTTGCTGGGCAGCAGTTTGTGCCCATTGCCTCGTGCCCCAGTGGTTGTCACCAGCCTGATCCATCTTCTTGGAACTCCACATATTTATCCCAGGCTCCTGGCCCCTCCTGGATCTGCTCCTGGGCATCATCCCGAGGCAGTGCTGGGCCAAAGTCCCGTGGGCACAGGGAACACCCGCCCTGGCTCCCCTTCCACAGCTTCCACCTCTTGGCAGAGGCTTCCCGAGATCTGTGCTGGCACCTTGCACCGTGGGGCAAATTCCATGCTCGGGATCTTGGAGCCTTTTCAAAAAGACAGGCAGGTATTGGGAAGGCTGGCACGAATATTTACCACAGGCATTAATGCTCTCACTGGTCCCACAGCCATCCCCAAAGCAGAACATACTCCAAAAATGCAGGTTTTTTCATGCCCAGATACAGATTGTGCAGTTCAGGAGGATGAAGTAGGTGGTTACTCTGTTACTATCTGCACAGATTTGCAGAAGGACTGTGAGATTATTCAGAATTAAGATGCTACACTGACAGTGAAAGCTATTTTTGAGAGATATTTGGAAAGTATACGCATCCTGTTAATCTTCTCATATTACACATTAATTTTCCATGCAATGCCTTGCATGTGGAATGGAAAATTTTAAATTACTATATATATATATATGCAGAATTTCTTTGACTGAGGAGTTAAAATGAAAACACAAACCAGTGTAAGGCACCTGGAGTAAAAGGAAGGCCTGAATGTCTCAGCTAACGTGACATTCACACCAAAATATGATCCGTTGGTGCAACAGCAGCACGTTGCATCACAACTGTGCAACATGATGATGTTTCAAAGGCCCTGCAAATTATTTCAGGACTCCTGCACAAGACGAGCGACAACCTCCTGCAAATGTCTTGGTGGAGTAGGAGGAAAGAAGGACACTCTATAAATAAACTTCTATGAGAAGTTAAAAAAAAAAAAAAAGAAAAAAGAAAGAAAAGCCAGGCTGGGTATTTTCACCACAAGAAAACTTTGGAGATTTACTCACACTGAGCCTATTTTTGGGTGCCAGTGTAGGCAAGCAAGATCCTTCTTGTCATGCAAGCAGACCCTGGGTATTTTTAACGCAGGGGAGTCGCTGCTCATCGCAACGGCAGCTGCGGACGGAGCGGGACCGGGGGCAGGGCCGGAACCAAAGCCCTTCCAGGGGGAACAGATGGTTTTCTCCGTGCTGGCTGCACATGAAGACCATGGCAAGAGGAGGATTCCATCCAAACCTGCTCCTCCAAGGCTGCCCAGGGCCACGCCAAGCCCTCGGAAGTCGCGGCGCCGTCGATGGCGCGATGGTCACCCCGCACAGAGGGAGGGTGGGAAGTCACCAGTCCCGAAGGAGAAATCCCAGGCTTTGAGGGAAATAAAAGCAAGCAGCCTTTGGCATTAGTGCTCAAGAGCTGGTGGGGTTTTTACCTCTAAGAGGGAAAAGAATCCTGGGATTTGGTTGAGGGAATGAAATCCGGCACGATGGCTCAGTGGGGGCTCTTGAATGTCCCCACTGATTTCAGGATGGCACCAAGTTTTCCCTGGCTGGAAATCCACTTCTTTAGCCTCAAACAGCACAGCTCAGTGTCTGGGAGAGAGAATCAGTGTCTAACACTGGTTTTGGCTTTTCACCTCCCAGTTTGGAGGAGCCCAGCCTGAGTGCCTCAGTTTGGGATCCAGTTCATCGGTCCTGACGTGTTCATCACAATAAATCCTTCCACAGGATCCCAGCACAGCCACGTGCAGAACACAGTTCTCCCAGTAAACCCAAATATTATTAAAACATCAACAAAAGAGGAAAGAAAACTAACACATCAGCTGGAGAGTTCTTAATCAGGAGCCACCAGCTTTCCCAATTCCAGGTCCAGCCCTCCAGAGCAGGAGGACACAGTGGAGAACAGTCAGATCCACACTGGGCAAATTCCAGACCTCGGACATCACTTGCCCTTTGAATAATACTGTGCATGCTCTTCTTGGGAAATGAAGCCTCCTGGAAAAGGGGGAGGAGGCAGATGAAAACAAAAGCACCGTGGAAAAAAAACGCTGTCGAAAATACGCTTTGTTTCATGGCTGGGTTTTTGCAGAGTTCCCATCTCTGCAACTTCCAGAAGTGCATTAAGCTGCATAATTAGCATCTGTCACATGTAGCCTTTCCCTTCCCTCTCCCTCTCCCTGGAGGGAAACTGCATGGAGAATTTTTAATATAAATTTTAGTATCTGCACTGTGCAGCACAATCATATTAGGAAAGCTACAGGCAAGTCAGTTTGTGCTCGATCTTGGCTTTATCTTTGTGGAATAGAAACTTCACTGGTTAAAAAAACCTCTCCTGCTGCTGCTCCAATTTAAAAATTAACTACTCTCTTGGAAAGACAACAGGGGCAAGGGCAAGATGGTCCCTGTTGCATCAGATGGAAAGCAGTGGAATTGTCAGGAACTGGGCAGTTAATGCCAGTCTCTCATCCTGGTGTTACACCCCTATTTCCCATGGAATCATCCAGCCAAAAGGAGTAAAGGATGGATGATTTTCCACTTTGGTCAAAAAAATTTTTTTGAAAGGAATATTTATATTTTTAAACCCATCAGAACAAAAAAAGTAGGAATTCTTATTGCTCTTTCATTCACGTTAAAAGACACTCCACTGTTGAATATAAAAGTCAATGCACTACAGCACCTTGTGGTGAAGCTCTGCAAAAAACTTAAAAAGATGAAATGAAGATTAAATGGCAAGAAATGCAGCTTAACAACAGCAACATGAAAAATAATGACACTATTCAGCCTTTGATTTCCACTCAGGCTCTCTCCTACTTTGAAAAAGTATTTACCTCCTACTTAATTACTGAGAGAAAACTGAGATTGTAGGACTGAGCACGTTGCCAACAACCTGAGGTATGAAGGGAAGACCAGGAGCTTGGAGTTCAGCTGCAGAGGTGGGAATTGCTGTAATTGGTCCATGGGAAGCAGATTCATCAGGCAGTGCAGAGTTCAAACTCGTGCCAGTCAGTCCCTGGTTGGCACCACCAGTTCTATCAGGAGGATACCGAGGTCTCAGCAGGACTTATTATTGGCAACTGTCCAACACTTCTCTTCTCCAAATGGTTTCCAGGGGATTTGGGTGGGAGGAAAGGTGATTTTTAACGAATTAAACTACCTGAGAATGGCGAGGTGCCCAGAGCCACCCAGGCTGTGTTAGCCACTGTGCCACCAAACAGCTGCAAAAAAGAAGATTGAAATGATCATTATTGCTGTAAAATTTGCCTACCTGGCTTTAACAACACCAGCAGATGAGTGCAGAATTACCCAGACACGTGCTGTAAATTGTAGTGCAGGTATGTGTAAAATGTGTCTGGGGTAAAGGGGAGAGCAGAACATTCACACAGGGGGTGTTTCTCAGAAAACATCCACCTCGAGTTACCAGCACTCCTACAAGGTTTCCAAGGAATTAGAAGACCACTTAATTTTTAATAGGAAAATTACAACAACAACAACAAAAAAAAAGACTGTTTGTCCCCCATGAGTATTTTTAGGTGCCCAGAACTGGGGTGTAAACCAAACTGTGGGAGCTTCTGCCCTGGGCCACGCTGATGTCCAGCTGCTTTGTTCTGCCTTTTTTTCCAAATGGGGAATATGTCATTTTTCAGCAGAGGTCTCCAGGAGAAGATGGGAGCTTAATGCCCAGCAATAAAAAGAGGAATATGAGGATTCTTGCTCTCTTTAGTGTCAGCTCTGGTTAAGACGTATGAATGCACATGAATGGTCTTGTCAGGATCTCGGGGGCTCCTGACATTCAAGATCTACCATATTATTCCTCCTGACCAGCACATTAACTGCTGTGCAGGGAGGAGAAGGGAAAGAGGGAAAAAAACCCCAGGGACAAAGATAGGACCACTCCCTAATCACACAGAAATTGCTCTGGCTGGAAAGCTCTGAACAGAACTTCTCTGCTGGGAAAATCCAATGCTTGTGTTCCCCGAGCTGAGAGGAGGGGACTGTGCAGCCTCTTTAAAATCTGCAGCAGGAAAAACAAAGAGAAATCATCATTTAATGCCTCATCTTGCTCATTTAATTCATGGAAAAGATCCCAGTTAACTCATAAATAAAGACTGTGCAGGAAAGTGTTTGTTACATCCCTGGAAAGGACACGTGTTTACCAGAAGAAAAGTCCTTGCATTTGGAGCTGCTGACCCTATTTTTCAGCACTGAAAGTTTCTCTGAATGGCTAGTTTCAGACACAAATAAGCTAATTAAACAATTTAGCTAAAATAGCATCATGTTGATTCAAATGTCAGGGTGTATCAAGTCTGGGTACCACTACAATGGAAAGGTTTGTTCACCAGAAGCAAAAATCTTACAGTGTGCTTCTGGCTGAGCTAACAGAAAATACATCTCAGATTGTTGTTGTTGTTGTTGTTCATAATTTGTTGCCAAATAAATTGAAATTATTCAAAAGCACTGAAATTAGTTTAATACCTGTTTGTGCTCTGAAACTGGAGCTGAATGAGCACCTTTCACTTACAGGGAATATCCTGAACATCCTGCCCCGTGTGACTGAAACCACTTCTAGTGCCCACTGAGGAGCTGCAGCCCATCAGACAAAGGAGTGGATTTGTTTGGAGCAGGAACTGAGAGCAGACCTTTCCACATCTGAAGTGCAACAGATGGGCTTCCAAGGAGAACATAATGACTGGCAGACAGTGCACTTCGTTAGAGTGGCTTGGAATGTCTTCAGCAATTACCCAGGGAGTGGTTTGGGGGGAAGCCCTGTCATCCCTGTGCTTCTCCTCCTGGAAATGCCCGGCATTTCCTTGTTTGGATGCTGGAAAATTGTACCTTCTACAACCTGGCGGTGACCTGGAAAAGGAAGCAACTTTTGGCCCTTCCAAGGCTCTGCAAGATGAGGCTCCAGACATTTTGCCACCTGAGAAGAGAGCTGTGAGTAGAAAATAAACCAGCATTAAGAGGAAAGAGTTTGGGGCACAGAACTGTAGAACTATTAATCCACAGCCAAGTATTCCATGGAAAGGGAATGCGTGAAAAAAGGAAGGTCTGACACAAGGTCCTCTGAGAAACTGGGAGGTCTGCAGATACAAGAGGCACAATGTCTGGGGGAGAAAACCCCACAAGAGCAAATTACTGAATAACAACCTCCTTCCTTTGGGAAAGTGGTGGCTTCTGGAGCCTTTTCCTCCCCATGAAAGGCTGTGGCTGCAGCTCTTCAGGGCAGGGCAAAGGCGGCTCTGCTGAGGTTCCCCATTCTTTCCATTTTCACAGTTTCACAAGCCAGCAATTAGGAATTCTAACAAACCAAAAGAGCAATAAAAGGCTGAACTTTAATACTGTATATTTAGCTTAGAAAAAATGTAACTTCTTCCCTCTACTCTCTTCCCTCCCCCCCCCCAATCCCAGAATTAGTTATAAAACCTTCCCCACCAAACTCACCCCGAGGAAAATTTCATGTGGCAACATAAACACAACAACAACAACAACAACAAAAAACCCGTGTCCTTTAACAATGTAACTTAAATGTTGATGGAATCATAACTGCATGGCTCCCCCTCCAATTAGCAGCAGAATTCTTTATGTTTGCTTACCAAGCGTGAACCCTTCGCTTGTCACTACAAAGACCTTCTGTAGGGGACTTTAAAAAAAAAACCCAAAAAAACAACAGCCCCAGCAATTAAAAATGACAACAACAGAGGTGGAGGGGGCACAACGTGACACAGAATAGCCAGCTGTTTCTTTCCAGAGGAGGGATACACCGAGGAGGTGGAATATTGGGATGGAAGGTGGAGGTCCTGGAAAAAATAGGGGTTTCCAAGAAAGGAATTGGTAAATATAGGATTAAATCTAACCTCAGTTTTCCCACACCCTGAGGATTGTCACTCATCCTTTTTATCCATGCAAATTTCCATTTTTTGTTTAATTTGCTAGGACCGTAAATATTCTATTTTGTGGGAAATTCCCTCAGATGTTGGGGTTTGTCCTGGAAAATAAGCAAGGCAAGAAGTGATCTGAGAGGGTTAAGATCAATAAATCAGACTTTAAACTTACTTACTTTGGTGGTGTTAAAAACATTCTAAGAGTTTATGAACAGCATAAGTCTCATTACAACCAATCTATTACTTATTAAACAAGAATTCCTGTTACAATCACACCTGTGTGCTGCTGGTTCCTGCCTGTTCTGCTTCCCAGCAGTAAAAACATGGGAAGTTATTTGTAATACATGTAGGGAATTATTTTTTTAATTATTTTAAACATATATTTAAATAATAATAATAAAAAAAATCTGAAAAAGTAAATGTTTCAGGTTAGCTTTCCTAGTTGGGATTATAATCATTAAATATATATATATATATAATACATATATTAAAACTATATATCCTGATGAAGTAACCCTGATTTCTAACACAGCAAGAAAACCAGTGAGAAAATAACTGACACACACAGCACCTCTCACTCGAGGGGTAGAAAAAACCCCAACCCTGACTATGGAATCCACCTCCAGACGTGTCCTTGGGGGAAAAAAAAACCTGCTGAGAGAACAATCAGGAAGATTTCCAGGGCTGCTGCTTCCCTGGAAGTTTCTGCCTCTCAGAACAGCCCAGGCATGGCAGGTGCTGTGGATCAGAACTCCCCCCTGCAGGGTGTTTTGCACATCAGATTGATTCTCCACGATTTCTTAGGCAAACACAGGGATGCACAAACACGTCAGCTGTTACACACGGAATACTCGGGCACTGCACTCCTTACTTCTCATTTACAGAGGGGAGCAGATAATGAGCTCAGCCATCACCTGCAGGATAAATTTCACTTGCAGGTTCAGAAGTATCTCTGGCTCTTCATGTGTTCAGCGAGCCAGAATTTACAGGTGGCTCAGAGGGTTTGTTTTCCGAGCTGGGTTTGTCTCCAGAGCAATTGCTCCGAGTGGGCAAAGGCTTTAATGTGCTCATCCCTTCAGCCAGAGAGTTCTTCATGAGCTGAGAACTCACAGGCTCAAAGCAAGCCCTGCAAAATACAGAGGACAGGATAGGAAAAAAAAATAAGAAAAGAAAAAGCTGTGCTTTTCCTCCCCTAAATTCCCAGAATTCATCTCCGGATTCATGCCTGTGGCTAAATAAAACTCAGACTGTAATATCACCCTTCCCTGTGTTTCATCTGAAATAATTGCTTGACAACAAACATCTCTTCCTCTGTGAGTATTCTGTGGTGAATTCATTCACATCAGGAAGAACACATCAGAGAGGTGTCTGGTTTGAAAGTTGGCAAATCAGACCCCAGTGACAAACAAAAGAGTGTGACAGCACAGGCAGGACACAGCCTGGGATGTTCTGGGCACACACAGACACCTCGGTGGGCTGGGGAAACTTCTGAAATCAAGAAGTTTTGATGAACAAGTAAGCCATAATAATAATATTAATAGTAGTAATAATAATAATAATGGGTGTTTGAACAATATGTCATGAATCTCATTATCTTTTGCAGATGTTTTCTATTTAACACAATGGGAATGTTCCACTCTGTGGTGTCCCAGGTGGTATCAGACACCACTTTTACTGAGATAACTCTAACCCTAATCCAAACCTAACCCTTACCCTAAACCTAACCATAAATCTAACCCTAACCCAACCAAAACCTTAACCCTAATCCTTACCCTAACCCTAACTAACCCTAACCTTTCACTGCAGTGAAAAAGGTTATCCCAAAGGCAGGACACCCCAGCAGCCACAGAGCAGGATGGATTCCACCAGCAGATGGATCCTGAAAACACAAACCTGTGGAATACAGCACCTGGAAGTCCAAAGAGAAAAACCTTCAGGTTACAGCCTGTGTCAACAGCCATCACCCCTCACACTCTTGCTCAACACATGGACTTGGACTAGAGAGAAGAGATTCCAAAACCCAGGCAAGGAATGTGGAAATCCTGGGCCTCTTTCCACGCAGGGAAGGGCTCTCCAGGCAGGATCAGAACACCTCAGTCTGCAGTAAAAGGGGGGAAAAAAAAACGAGGAAAAGAAATCGTGCCCATAAACAATCCAGTGTAGCAGCTGGGAGGACAACCTTGATAAAGCAGGACACAGGTACAGCCAACACACACAGAAATGAGAGTATAACAGGTACACTGAGCACTGAATAAAGCTGGAAGTAAATCTCTCTCCTGAGGAAAGGTTTAAGATTATTTTCCTTTTTTTTTTTTCAAAGCCCCACAAATGAATATTCCCTTGCAGATCAAGTGGTTGTCTTCACCTTTTGGCAGATTTACAAAAGAGATCCTGCAGGGAGGTTTTGCTCTGTGAGCAACCTCCTCAAAGAGTGAGGAGAGAGCAGCAGCTGAAATCACTTGCACAACCACGTTTCACAACCCTTCCTCCAGTGGCATCGCCGCTTCCCCCTTCCCAAGTACAAAAATGAATGAATTTTTCTCCCTCTTTTTCCTAAGAGGGGGGAAAACCAACCCTGCTTATCCTTTGGACACCCAGAGAGTTTGGAGGAGCTCAAAATGTGCCCCCCTCATCCCACAGACACTGCAAGGAGAGTGGCAAAGGATGCACAGAGTGTGTAATTACTGTTCCAGGAGATAATTCCATTATTAATACATCCCCAAAGATTGCAGGCACACAACTGCACTTTAATGAGATGGTAACTGGAGGGGGTTGGAATTCATGAGGTAATAAATATATTTTGGACTAACAAACTCCAAGGCTGAAGTGTTTATTAATCTAGAATACAAAGATTACATAGTTGATAGGAGACAACCTCAGGTTGTGCTGAGATGCCTGTTTATAGATTTTAAAATTAATATTTTCTGCCTTTTGGGAGCTGGATCAGAAAGCCAAGATTGCTGGGGCTGGCACTGGAAAACATGACCAACTGTCCAACAACTCTGTGTTCTCCAAGGCAAAGACTGTTGAAGTCTGAGCAGATGTTGTGTTTCCAAAGTTCCACCTTTTCATCAGTTTGTCACCTCATCAAGCGCTGCAAACAAACTGCCTTCTGACAGCTCTCAGTGCCTCCTTCTGAGGGCAAAAAGGGCACATTCCTTTACAAGACTCACAGGTGCCCCTCCTGCTCCCCCCAAATCCTCAATCCCACCTCTAATTCCCTGCTCGTGGATTCACCTGCAGGACCACCCCAGGACCACGTGAACAGGCACATCAATTCTAGTGTGCCATCGAGTTTTCCTTCCCTTCCCATGGCTGTGTAAACTGTTTGCCTCCTCCAGCACATTAAGGATTTGAAAACTAAGTGTTCACTGCTGGGAGGATTTATATCCCAACCAGCTGTGCCAAGAAGTCAGAGGAATCAAATGGTCTAATCTATTAACTTGTCCTTGGGTAGTTCCAACTGGAGCTTTATAAATCGCTGGAGAGTTCAGTCCATTTAAACTCCATTTCTCTGTTGGTTTGGAAGTGTCAGTGCCCCACACAGGCAAGACTGAAGACCAAATTTAGTCCAGGAAAATGTGGGCATGATTGAAGTCAAAGGCCAGGTTGTTTAAGCCAAAGGTCAATTTAGGCCTGAGGGAATTACAGAGGAAAAAAAAAAATAAGGAAGGAAAAAAACATGAGCAGGAGTAACTTGTGGTTCCTTGCAGGGGGAACAAGGCTGACAAATGCAAAGGGAATTCTGTCCATACCTGAGGCAGTGATGGAGCTGGGGCAGTGCTGGACAAAAGCAGGGGAATCCTGGATGTGCCAGAGGAGCCCCAGCACCCTGGGCAGGAGCCAGGAGAGGAGGAAAGGGATGAGGAACATCCCATATAACGGGGAGGAAATTCCCTGTTCTCTGAGCTGGTCCATGGTGAGAGATCACAGGCAAAAAAACTTCCACTTCTGAGGGCTGTAAAGATTTAAAGGCATGCAGGGAAATGTTTATCAACCAGCTTAGGGCATCCACAGATAACTGGCCACGTGTTCAGACACTTCCAGAGGATGAGAGCAAAGGCCTCACACCGGCCCTGGAGAAAACTCCACGGATAATTCACGGAAGACGCTGCAGAGCCATTTCCAAAGCTCCTGCTTTTCCATTCCCAGGTTTCCAGAGCCTCCCCAAGTGAAACAAGCCACAGAGCCAACTTTCCAATATTAAATCTCCAGGCAGCACGTTATTCACACAGCTTATGGAGATGTCTTTACCCTCTGGAAAAACAAAGTTTAAGGAAAATGGCTCCATCTTTGGGGAGCAGTCGAAGTCTCGGGATAACAACATTAGGAAATCTCCCTCCATTACCTCGGATCCTGCATTTTATTACCAGATTGGTAATAGGAAATTACCAGATAAAATTGGTATTTTACTTGGTAATTTTTTTTCCACGGGCCTCGTCTAATATGAAAGATGGTGATCATCAAATTTATTCAAGTTTTCCTGTCAACAACATCATTAACCAAATCCCTCAATTTCAAAGTAAATAAAAGCATCTGGGCTCCTGCACAGCAAGACTGACTTGCATATTTAAGCCTCATATATAGATGAATCTGCACTGGACCGAATTTGCATATTAATGAAGGACTAATTGCTCTTTGCAGTCAATTTTATGCAGATGAATTTACTCCTCTCAGTACAATTTTCATAATGCTCCGAAAGAGCCCCCAAAAAACGCGAAACTTTGAAAAAGTGCACAAATGCTCGACAATCAAGGAAGAAATATCATAATGGCTCCAAACAGCTTTACATTAAGTTGTATATAATTCATCTTTTATACTGTGGCTTTATTTTAACAGCCTCCCACAAAGAACAGAACAACCCGTGGAAGAATTTCAGTCTATTCCCCCTCTCAAATTTTAACAGCTTGTAACAACCCATTATAATCTCTGCTTTCCAGCTGGAAGGATGGAGCCGGAATTTTTAGGAGAAGTTAAATTTGCTAAACAGGAATTTTTTTGTTGTTTGTTTTCTCCCAGTCCCACTCATGCCACAGGTCACTCAGGACATTTATTTTTAAGGGATTTTGGCCCAGTTTTGAGCCATTAAGAAAAAGCCTGGAGGGTCAAATCCCTGTTGGGTCTCTCCTGGTAGAAAATACCAGGAAAAGGACAGGAAAGTTCAGGGGGAACAAAAATATCAACAAGTGCTGAGGGAAAATGGTAACATTAGTGGGGGAAAGGGGAAAAGATAAATACTGGAATAAAGAGGAAAACAAGTGGGAATGGGAAGAGAGAAAAATTCAATGTGTGTATTCAGGTCTGGGTAGAAAGAGGAAAACTGAAGGATTTGGGAGAAAGTTCAAGGCAAAGGGAACAAATAAAAGACAAAAATGCAGCCACAAATGTAACCACAAGAAAGAATGGGAAAGATAATGAAAGCAGGAATGAAGTGAGAATCGAAGAACACACGAAGCATAAAGAAACAGATGAGAGAAGACACAAAAAAATAGAGTTTTTCCCAATTCTGCCAGAACAGAAGGGCAGAGTCAGTGGAAATGCATCAGGACTGTGAATTTGCATGTATAGCCTTCCTCCTGCCAAAGAAAAGAGCCTTATTTTAACTGTGAAGACTGATAACCATAATATTTATATGTAGCATAAAATCACTTACAGAAGAGCATTTTAACCAGCACAGGAACAGCACCCAAGTTTCATCTTTAAAATGACTTGGAGGTCTTTTGTAGGAGGGTCCCATTCACCACATCTGCCACATCTCAGCATTTTGGGCCCTTCTCTCCAGCTTTTGCTGGTTGAACAGGTGGTGTTGAGCTGCCAGATCTCCTGTGATCCCACAACTTTGCACCTGAGAAGCGATAAATGAAAAAAAAAGACAATTAAATAAATAATATTTCATGCTCAAAGTTAAACAATCTTCAGTATAAACATCTTGGACTGAGCTATTGGGTCTTTCCCAGAAGAAGAATCAGCAGCTCCTGAGTCTCTGATGGAAGGTGGGCACAGAAAAGGTCATTTTGCCATCTCTCCTTTTGGTCTTCCCAAAGAAAAGCCACAACACACGGAGCATTTTCAGGGATACACGAGCAATGGTTGCACCAGGCAAGATCCAGCCACTGCAGGAAGAAAAAGGGGAAAGGAAAATAAAAGGCTTTAGGGCAGAAGAGTTGGCAGAAAATCTCACACCAAGGGGAAGGGCAGGGAAAAAGCCCAAGAAGCTTTCACTAGGGTTCAACAAAAGAACAGCCCACAGAACAAAGACAAATAGTTATAAAATAATAACAGCAATAATTGGAGAAGAATGACAAATACTCCAGTAGGAAAACATTGGAATGCTACTGCTGGAGAATGCTCACCGAGGAGACAGGGCTCAGTTCAGAGGGCCAGCCTGGAGCACTTGGCTTTTAAAGTTATTTAAAAAACAAATGACAGCTCTTTGGGCACTTTGGGGTTCTGGATTGTTGCTGCAGAAGGTTTTGCTCATGGACAGGAACAAGGGAAATGTATCCCTTTATGATGTTTGTACTCACCATTTGAAAAGCTGGGTTTGAAGTGTCTGGTTGCAGGGATCAACCTGTGGGGGTGTAAACACAGGTCATTATTCAAACAGCAACAAGATGTTCCTCCCAAAACTATCAGCTCTTCAGGGGTAGAGGTGCTAATTCCAATCACCAGGAAAAGCCAACCTGACCAGATTTAATGAGCTGTTTAATACAACAATAAAGGTGCATAAATAAGGGGGGAGAAAGGGGCAGCACCGAGTCCGAACAGGCACCTCCTGGAGCGCCAGGTCCAGGCTGTTATCACATGATTGACTGAGGGAAGAATTCCCAAGATTTTACAGCCACCAAACACAGTTTAGCACTTGGTTATGTGGATCATCACCTGTTTAATACATAGTTTTTGTTATTATTAAATATTAATTAAATATTTAATTATTATTTAAATAAACAAAATATCTAAATATTCTTATTAAGCAAAAAAATCTAAGAAGCCACGTTCCTAAAGTTCCATGACAAAATGAACCCAATGATATTTCTGGGTTTCAAATTTGTAGATGAAGTCAGATGGTTTGTACAGATTATTTGAGGACTACAACCTTCAAATGAAGTAAGTTGCTATTTCCTCACATATAAATATATATATATAAGGGAAATATCAGACAGACATTTTCAAGAAAGAGCTACCACGTTCAGTGACAAAAAACAACTCTTACTCTGGAATATTCCCTAGGAATGAAACAAAAGCTTTATTTTATAATAATAATAAAGTAATTTGTAAATATTTAAATGTTCCATATCTGGGAATGCTGGAGAATATATCCCATTCCAAAGGATGTTGGGAAATCTGATTAGCCTTGTACCTCTGGATAGCGTGCTCAGCACCTGCTGGTCGAGCCGGGTGGGATCCCAGTGTCACCAAATGATGGGGATCAATCTGGAGGCATCCGAATTTTCATCCTTCCACTTTCATTCGGTGAAGTTTAAACAGCCCTAAAAATAAACAACCCAGTGCAAACCCAACGGCCCTGATATTGATTTATTCCGTTCATAAAAAAGTAACAACATCATGGTAAATTCAATCTGGTCAATGAGGAGTTTATGAGCTTAAATACATCAAAAGGGCACTGAAAGCTAATATATAGTGATTAAATAACAATCTGTGAGGGAAAGACACCCAACTTCCAATTCCACGGCACTGGAACTGAATCCTGATGAAAAATGGGGGTGTGAATTGTTTCAGAGGACGCTGCAGCCATTTACCCTTTCCCAGAGCTTGGAAGTCCACAAGACTAATTTATAATTTAACTGAAGTGTATCTCAAATAAAGGTTTTTGATTAAAATCTACATTTCTGTGCCTCCTGGCAGAGCCAATCTTGCTGGAACAGGACATCAGCTGCAACACCAGCAATTCTGGAGCAAACCCCAAACTGTAAAGCAGTTTTGTCCTACTTTAATATTGGTTTAACAATAAAAGAAGAACTTTGATGTTTAATATTTAAATAGTATAATTATTCCTACAGAACTAAGCCCAGGAGGAGCCTCAGTGGGTACAGAGTGTGAGCCAGCAATGAGGAGTTCGTGGTTCTGCTGCCTGAGGAGGCTGTGATTTGTAGGGGCCAGTTGTCTCTGAGCAGCCAGTGGAGAAGGAACGGCCAGATCCCAGGATTGGTCTGGTCTGGGGGAAGGCTGGAGAGCAAGTTCTGCACCTGCACTGCAAGCAGGAGCACTGGGTGATTCCCACTGCATTTTTGCAGTCAGAACTCTTTGGCTGATGGCCCAAAGCGGATGGACGTGTTCATCCAGGTAGATCCAGAAGATCCGTGGATTACAAGGATTCCATGGACACAGCACACACACACGGTGTGGGACACAGCACACAGCTATTCAGTACCTCACACAGATGGAGCAGCCCACTCTGGCCAGCTCTGCAGCCCTGTGAAATCAGGAGGACGTGTCTGCAACTCTCCCTCTCTTCCCCTCCGCTGAGGTGACTCAGGTAAATGCACGTTGGCAGCTCCTCCGAAGATTCCAACTTCCCCGTTTTCCAGAGTAACTTCCAGCTGCATTAAACACCAACACACAGAAAGCAGGTAGCACAAACAGTGAAGTCTGAATTTGCATGATTCACACACAAAACCTCAGTAATTCTGCTGTTGAACACAAGCAAACCACAATAACTTTTACAGAGTTGCACTGTCCACAGGACACATCGATCTTTTAGGAGCAAAGTGACGTGGCTGCACTTCCTGAGGGAACTGAGGACTGGCAAATCCATCCAGACACCTCTAGCCCTGCTGGTTCCCACCAAATCCAGAAAAATCCAGTCTCCTGGGGGATGAAAAGCCCCTGTTCAGACCAGCCCTGCCAAATGCAGAGGATCTGTATTAAAGGATCCTCTCATTCCACAGCTCCTCCTGCCCCAAGTGCATGGGGCCTCGCTCCCTGGAGATTCATCTGTCTGTTGCTGGGCATAAGAAAACCTGAAATCAGAACCCTCAGAAATACCAAATGCATCGATTTCCAATGTAAATTTTAAGTCCCTATTTTACCCCAGCAGTTCATTTTATCAGCAGGAATTACCTGGAGGAATATGTAATGGAGAAGCTCTGTAGAACAACTGAAGGCATGAGAATGAATACGAAAATATTTACTTTGAAACTTCCATTTATTTTTCTCCAAATTGTAGAAAAAAAAATAAAAATAAATGTACTTGGTTGGTTGAAATAATGTGCAGACACAGGAACAGAAATATGAGGTGACAGGAGGGAATGGACCAGATCCTTGTGAATCAACTCTGTTTTCCCAGGCACATAAAACTCAAGTGGCCTCAGGTTGATGTAAGTGATATATCTGCAGAATGAATGTTAGACACCAAATAGCAAAAAGGCTGCTGAGCCAAATTTATCTTAGGGAGGTGTTTTTTTTTTTTTGCTATTATTCCCTTTCTACATTTTCAAAATATCCCTTAATGCTCTTTCCTTTCAGAAGGAAATGTAAGTCTCTCAAAATAATATTCCCAAGCTCAGCTGCAATCTCCTCCGTGGTAATTCACTCTGGCTGCTCGGTACTCTTTGTGAGGAACAGATCTGCTGGAGAGCAGAAAACAACTCTGTTCTCCTGATACACTTCATATTCAAATCACTGCAAAGTGCAGACAGGAGAAAGGACTTAGATAAGGGCATGGGAAATGTGGAATTCAGCCAGGGCTTCTGTGATGAGCTCTCCAGTAATGAGACAGCGTGAAAATAAGGAGAAATGGTACTGACCCAAATTCCAGAGTTATCATCACTACTTCCTTCAAAATGAATAAATAATTAAATTTATTTACCTTGCCCTTCAGCAGCATCCACTGACAAATACTTTGGTTTAATATCTCCCTCTGATCTCCATCAAAACACCTTTAGATTGCTCCTTCCACTGTCCCAGGTTGTTCCAGCCCCCTCCAACCTTGGACACTTGCAGGGGTGGAGCAGCTCTGGAGCCCCTGCAGGTGATGGATGAGCAGCAGGTCCCATCCCTGGGTGTGCCATCTCCCCCCTGGGTGTGCCATCCTCCCCCCTGGGTGTGCCATCCCCCCCTGGGTGTGCCATCACCCCCCTGGGTGTGCCATCCCCCCCTGGGTGTGCCATCTCCCCCTGGGTGTGCCATCCCCCCCTGCACAGCGAGGCTGCAGCAAACTGCAAGCACAAGGTACCTCTCATGAGCAGGACCAGCCATCAATAATCATCTCTTTTTTAAGTACAGCATCCTATAAATCCTCCTAATTAGTAAACGAGATGTCTTCTTTTTAGCAAACAATCCCCAGCCTCCCTCCTTATTTATTTCCCTGGATTCAATTAGGTTTGCACCTGCTGGCCCAATCACCTAAATGACACATTGTGGATGGAAGGGAGAAGCTGGGCCATAAACAAGAATTTCATTAGAGTTCCATTTCAAATACTTGCCTGCACTTATTTTCTCTGCTTTGTGGAGAATGTTGCTGCTGGTTCCTCCTCTGTGGCTCTGTTCTCCTGTCAGCACCAGCAAGAATTCCTCACTGTTCCTGATTTCTGACTCCATGGGAAGCAAAGCTGGGGTTTTCCTGCAGGGGAGGCACCATTAGGATATAGAGGGAAGAACCGATTTCCAAGCTGGACTGAAAGACTGATAAAGGTCCAAAAATTTTAGCTGATTGCTAAAAAGACTCTTGGTAAAATGAAGGTGTGGAAATATTTCTATGCAACTTAAAAACCAGAGTTAACAAAACTCAGTGTGGTCGTAGGAGATGGTGAAAGCAATGGTCCAGATTCCTGAGCTGATTCCCACTGATACAGGACACATCAATCCACAGTTTCCTTTATAACTGTGGAGAACAATCCATTATATTTTCACATAACCAATTAAGATACATATAAGCACGAGTTATTCTCCAAGCAACTCATTTAATCCACGATCCTGCATCTCTCATTTCCCCAATCCTCTCCCAGATTTATTTATTTCCTTGCTCAATGCCTTTGATCTGCTCTCAGGGTGTCTGAGGGATCCTGGGCAGGGCTCTCAGGTATTTTGCTGTGGTGTTTCAGATTTTCTGAGGTGTTAAAAGGAAAAAAAAAAAAAGAAGATAACATTGCATTATTTGGTATTTATCTTTGGATTTCTTGCCTAATTTCAGACAGTCGAGCCCTACAATTTTCACTTGCAATTCTCCCATATTTCAGGAGAAATGTGTCTGTCATGATGGAGCCTGAACAACCCTCAGCAAAGCTTGGGGTTGCATTTCTGATGTCTGAGCAGCAGAGCCCTGGGTGACACCGAGGGACAGGCATTCCCCACTGGAAGCAGGGAAGACACCACCAGGCTTTGCAGCAGGCAGGTGCAGATGTTTAATTGCTGCAATGGCTCCTGAAGGTGTGAGGAAGGTAGAAGGAGTCCAAGATGAATTCCAAGTGTTTCACTCACTCCATAAGTAGTTCCTGGTTAAGCAATAAGTGCTTCTCTAAGTATTCTTCCATTAATTCTTTCCATTAATGAAGAGAAGCAGTGCATGAGCTGGAACTCTTAAATGAAGATAATGATTATCATAAACAGCTGTTTCATTTGACACTTTGAGGGATATGAGGGTGCTGTGATTTAGTTCAGCGAGTTCAGCTCGGCTCAGGCCGTGAGATTAATTGAATTAAACCTTCCCCTCGTCTCTAATTGCATCACTCATCAAATCACCACTCAAGGACAGAATCTTTAGGGGGTTTTTGTGCCGTGGGTGCACACAGAGCCTCGAGCAGGTGGGAAATCAAAGCCCTCACACTGCCACGTGCCAACTTCTGACACACCTAAACCCCTGAGAAGGACAGGGCCAGCCATGACCCAGGCATGAAATGCATGGGGAGGGGAAATTCTTCCCATGGAGATGAAGTGCCATGTTTGGAAACTCAAAGGACCTGAAATTTGTCAGTGGATTTCCTCCTAAACCAATCCCAAATCCAAGAGTGGCTTGCTGCACTTTGTCTGACTTCACTGGGAAAAAAAAAAAAAAAAAAGGCTAAATTTGTGCTTGCTTCCCAAAAGAAAATTAATTTTCAAATAAGGAGGAGGAGGAGCACCCTAATTTCCTTCCAGAAACCTCTGCCTTCTGAATTAGTACCTGCATCCTAATTTTTCCAGCCTCATTTTTATACCCTCTTCACCAAGCTGCTGCAGTCTGTACCTCATTTTGGAGTAATCAGGGGGCACAGGATATCCATAATACCCCAAATCAGCAACTTTTGCATCCCTCAACTACTGATTTTTCAGTGTTGCCGTTGCAGACTACACCAAGAGCCTCAGGAATGTCTGGAAAAACAGGCTTGGTGCTGCTGAGGTCAAAGGAAAAAAATCTATCCCTGATTTCAACCCTGATAAAATTATTGACACCCATGTCTGTGTGGTACATACCTTAGCAGATTCTGCAGGGAACAACCATAATCCCATAAATTATAAACATATCAGGATCTCCTCTCCAACTCGTTAATTTTTATTAATGACCTACATGTGGGCATAACAGACACAAACAATTATTTTAAAGCTGGTAATATATTTAGTCATTTAACCCCTTAAAAAAAAAAATAAAATCCTTTCCATACTTGTAAAGTGTTATAGGCCTAATCTGGATAATCTTATTACATGTCAAACATGGTCTTACCCATGGATAACACTTCCTAATACACTGACACCTCTTTGGCAACACAAAACCTCTTTTTGTTAGAAAAGCAGTAAAAATGCAGTCAGAGAATTTTAAATCTTGTCACCAAACTAAAAGCAGCGAGTAAATATTAACTCCGTGAAGTGCAAGACAAGTTTTGTTGACCACTGAGGTAAATATTGACTGGAATTAAGCAAATATTTACTGATGGATGGATCCCCTTCAGCACCACAAACAAAATTTTGCCTCCTCCATTTGTGGGTTTGCATTTATACCTGGGAATCTGTCTGCAAGGGTAGGGCTTTCTAAAAATCAAAACTGCCTTTTTCTCAGCAACCAAACTGGCTGTGTGTCCAGAGGGCTGGAATATTTTGGCCTTGTCCAAGGCAGAGGTTTAGCAGATGGATTTCAGGCAGAAATGAACTCACTTCACTAAGAGCTGCCCAGGTAACAACACCCAAGACTCCTCTCTAACTCATCTCTAAAAAGGTTGACAGAAAGTTAGTGAAATTCCATTTTATGAGTTCTGTTTGAACACTCATTTGGAGTTTAATCTAAAATATATCCCACTCAGGGTGGAATTGTTGGGGCTGTTCTGTGCAGGGCCAGGAGTTGGACTTTGGTGATCCTGGTGGGTCCCTTCCAACTCTATGACTTACCAAGGCAAATAAAGAATAATTAAGGCTATAACTCTCAGCAGGTACTGCAGATGGAATATAAATTAACAAACTTATCTACTCCTTCCTAATAAATCCACTCACATTTACACGCAGGAGCATTCCTTGTTCAGTGGAAGGATTCACACATTCTGATTCCCATCAGATTAGGAAAAGCCTCATTTTGAGCAACTTCAAAGATTCTGCTGAAAATTGTGGCACCTTTAAGGGCACCCATTAGAGGATCCCAACGCCACGATCGTGACATCTTCTGACCTAAATACTCTGCGATGGTTTTACCGAGCCAATGAACACACGAAGTCTTTAACAGCTGAAGATTTGTCGGCTCGCTGTATTTAACAGAGCCTTCAGCGCCACTTCGAGAAAAGCCCAGGTCAGAAAACGGCTTCTCCACTCGGCTCTGATGCCCACGGGAACGGCTCTTTCCTGCAGATAAAGGCAGGAGCTGAGCACCCTCCTGTGCAGGGAGCAAAAACTGCAGCTGCCCTTTGTGGCTCCGCTGGCCCCTTCTCATTCCAGGCTTTATCTGGGTAAAAATAAACAAGACCCCGGGGTCTCATTCACCGGCTTTGGAACAGTTCTCTGACAGCGCTGCGGTGGAATCACTCTCACTTTGGAACGACTCGAGGAGGAAGGAGCACACTGAGAGCTCCTAAGATTCCTGGAGACCTCAGGGAACAGGGTGATGTCACTGCAATGTAAAAATATCTGCTTCAAATTCCTCGCGAGTCTCCTTGACAAAGCTCCCAGGATCAGAGTTCAGCTGTGAAATTCAGCTCCTCTGCCATCACCCCCGGGGGGAGCTTTCCAAATAAATAATGAGATTGGTAAGGTCTCTATCCTGCAGTTCCTCAGAGATGTTTTCCTGTGCTCGAAATCCAAACTGAAGGAAGGGTTGGGTAGTTGCAGGAGTTAGTTTGAAAAAAAAAAAGACTGAGCAATTCAAAGCTCAGGAAAAACTCAGATTTTAAAGGTTATTTGAGCCTCTTGGCAAGACTTTCAAACCCTTCAAACAATTTAAACTCTGGTAGTTTTGCAAAAGTCTTCCATACTCAAGCAACATTTTTGGGTAAAATGAAGACAACCAATAAAGCCTTTGAATATTCAGGACATTCTGCTATTCTACAGACTCTTACAAAAAACCCACAATTTTTTGTCATATCATTAACTAAAATTGCTCTCCGTGTATCTGAGATCAGCTCCTTTAAATCTCACCACAGATGTATCCTGTACATCTCATTTTAAAGCACCAGCTCCTTCCACACCTCCTGCTGAAAAGAAAAAAAAAGAAATAAAAAAGGTGATACAAAAGATGCAGATTGTAATCCCTCAACCTGCCCTGCAGGAAGATTTCTGCAAGAGCTCCTCCAGGAATTGCTATTAGGGTACAAAATACTTTTCATCTAACATTTCTGTGCATAGAACAAGATCTCAGCAACTTTTAGTCCGGAGTAATTGTTGCAGAGGGAAGCAAGAATTCCACGAGGATCAGTGTTTGTTCCAGTGTCCTCATGCACTGAGCAACCACGGGGAAGCAGGAACACACCGAGCAAACCTGTTGATGGCACCAAGTCAGGAGGTACCACCAATACCTGGGAGGGCCAGAAAATCTGGGATGCTTATACCTGAGTGTACCTGCACCTGAAAATGAGCCTGGACACTGATCCAGCCAACTCCGTGACATTCCCTGGCATCCTGGGAGTAGAACCCAACTACAGATTGGTAAATTTATTACCAGGTATTCCATGAACCAACGTGTGCAATACCCACGGGAAAGGACTTCCAGTTTAATGTGAATAATCTCTGAAATCTTTCCTGTGTCAGGAGTCACTGAATGCAGAGGTCATTAATGGCACCAGGAAAACACACCTGCTGTAACAGCATCTCTGAAGAGTTCCATCCCTTCTCATGAGCTGTGAACTGGGGATAAATCAGCAAGTGACCTGCATGAGCAAACATTATTGATTAATAAGCTGCCACGAACTCATTTCGTATTTCCAGTCCATGTAACAACGAAAAGCTGTTTGAGGACAACGTTGATTTAAAGCTACATTTGTACTTTAATGCATTTTATAATTACAAAAAAGAAACAGCTGAAGAAATCTTTTATATTTATACCCTTCCAAGCGGTGTACAGAAGGCATGCATAATTTCCAACCATAAAATACTATTTAAAAATAAAAAAAAAAAAAAGATTTATAATTGCTTTTCCTGATTCGAGAATCAAATTGGGATTTTTTTTTTTTTTTCACGTTGTCCTTCACAATCCAAACACGCTGTGAGTGACTGACTGAGCAAAGAGTGGGAGAACGAACAATATGGCACAGCAGAAGCCAAACACAACAGGTCTGTGTTATCCTTGGAAGGATGGGGACGTGGCCATGTAAATTCTTCCAGCCAAGCATCTGAAATCTGCATTGCTGCTGCCACTGAGTACTGTGATAATTAGGCAGAAGAATTACACAAATTAGAAGGTCTTCTGAGTTCAGGGGGTTCACAGGAACAGGAGGCCTGTGGGGTTGTTTAATATTTAGTGTAACTGTAATAACTAGCCCAGGTTTCTTCCAGCCCATCAGCCACAGCCCAAGTGAAACGCAGAGGGTACGAGGCCTAAAACTTCCAGATGAGAAATTCCAGGCACAGCTTCCAAAAACATCATAAAAAGTAGACCAAATTGCTGCAGATGCCTCCTTGAAACCTACCTCCAAGAGAAACAGAGATGCATCCCGTGTTTTCAGCCTCTTCCTTGAAAATAAAAGAGAAGGTTTGTTGTCAGATGGTGTCACTGAACACCAGGCCACTTAACTCTTATAAACACTTCGTTTTTCACCTTATGAGCTCTATGTTTTAAGTGCCCGTTCTCTCCCTCTCCCAGGGTTACTGACCCCACAGCATTTCTGTATTTAAACTCTTGAATTAAAACAGCCTTACTTTTGAATTAAAACATCTCTAACACAACACAGCACTGATATTCAAAGCTGCTCAGATAGATATTAGACCCACTTCCCGTGTGAGCTGCATACCTAAACACTCCTAGAAAAAAAAAACACCCGAGCCAAGGAAAACAGATGCCATTTCTGGACGCAAAACTAATTTATTCAAGAGCATATTTCGAACGGAAAAAAAAAAAAAATCCTGTATCTATTTCCTTTCGAGCCTCTCCCGAGAGCTCCCGCAGCATTAACTAGGGCAGCGCTCCCCTCAGGTTTCCTGGGAGGCAAAGCCAATTTCCAGACAGCAGGACTTCCCTAATCGCCGCCGACAAGCCGTCGCAGCACACATATATTTATCTGTCTATACACATCCCTTAATGTCCTTCCTTATTACAGCCTTCGCAGGTTAATTTTAATTGAGGCTTTCGATAAAATTCAGCAGGAACCTCCCGCCCCCCCCCCACTCCCCACATTTTGGCGGGGCTGCGTCTGAGGGGAGCCCCCCCCACGCCCCTCACGGGCCATGGAGGGGCGAAGGCCCCAACGTTGCCAGAGGAACGCCCAGCTCAGAGCCTTCTTCTTCTTCCTCCTTCTTCTTCTTCCTCCTCCTCCTCCCCTCACGGCTCCTCCTCTTCCTCCCACCCCCTGGGCCCCGGCGATGGCGGCGGGCGGCGGGCGGGAGGCGCCGGGCGCCTCATGAGGTACCGGGAGGGAGGGCGGGAAAGGGGCGGCCCCGCGTCCCCCTCACGGCCCGGGGAGGGAGGGGAGGACGCGGTTTCAGGGTCTTCCCCTCCCCGCGCGGGGGTCCCGGCGGTACAAACCCTGCCCCGAGGCGCTGCCGGGGGGTCCCGGCTCGGCGGTGCCGCCGCGGTTCGAGCCCTCCCGAGGGGCGGGCGGGGGTCCCCGAAGGCGGCGGGAGCCGCGAACCCGGCGAGGGCTCGAAGGGCCTTTATCAGGCGCTTTATTTTGGCAAATCTGCGGCGGGGGAACAAAGTCTGGGGGTGGGCTCGTTCTCTGCAATCCCATTTAATAACTCCGGTGATTTGGAAGTTTGCTCGGCGCGGCGCCAGCGGTGGCTGCGACACTCCGGCAGTGGGATCGCTCGCTTTTTAAAACACCCAGGGTGTTTTAAAACCCCACTGTCAGGGTTTGCCCCAAGCCACCATCTGGAGAGTGTAAACAGGGTTAGGTTTTTTTTTTTCCTGTTTAAACCAACACTGGTGTCCCGATGCTGTGGGACTCAGTATCCCTGTTCCCAGAGCCAGTTCCATCTCCAGTCCATCGGCCTTGTCCGTGTGCTGAAAAATTCAGGACGTGCATTTTGGCTGGTTTGAAGCCTGACGTCATCTTCGGCCAACAAAAAAATAGTAGTACTCCAGCAGCACTTGTAAATGTTACTAGATTCCCATATTCATATATTAAGTTATCGCCAGTTTACTTTTTAATATTTTCTTTCTAAAGGCTAAAGAACTTGGGTTTTGTGCAGTTGCATCGAGAACTTTTGCCGTGCAAACCCAAGTTTGATGTAACCTCTTTTTATCCCCGGTGAAACTGGCTGCGGAAAAAATAATTTCAAAGAGGAATCTGTAAGAGTTTGAACCACAGGAGGAGGATTATAACAAAATTCCCAGGGTTTCGATAACACTACTCCATAGTGACAAGTACTGTGCCAAATCCAGCTTCAAGGCATTCTCCAAAATCGTTACTCAGATGTCACACCAGTCCAGAGAAGCTGATTTAACACTATTTGATCAGAGTAAAGGCTGATACAAAGTGAGAAACTGCCCAGCGAGGCGATCAAAAGATGCCAATGGAAAGATAAACGGGACCTCACTTGGCTGCTCTCACTGTTGGACCATTTGTTGGCTGCATTTTGTTTTTCACTTAGAGCCACTCTCTTTTTACAATATGGCTTAACCTGGTTCTGCTCCCTTCCCCAGACAGGATAATCACATTAATCTGATAATGGCCCTCAGTTTGGAGCATGGCTTCTCACCAGGCAGTGTCTGAACCAGCGCTCACCTTTAATGGGTGCACGTAAATGTGCTCCTTCCCTCCCTCCCTTCTCCGTTTCTCCTTCCCTGCCCTCCTGCTGTTGCTATTTTTGTGCAGTTATGCAGCGCTTCCAAGATCTCTCCCCTGTACAAGCCAGTGCTGGTCTCCTGTCCAGCAGCTTTTGCTGCCCTGGTTTGCACCGAAGCAACCTCAGCTGTTCCTACGGAATGCCGAGGAAACCTGGACTGGGATGGAAGGAAACAATTTCAGTGGCACACAGAAAGCTGCCCTGTGGAGATGGGGTGGGAACCCTTCGGAACGAACACACACAGGATCTCGGGGAATCTTGTCTGGATTCTTTTTCTTCCCTATTTATCTCTTTCCTTCAACTGTGCCTTTTTATCCCCCGCTGCAGGAGGCAGAGCCCAGCAGGAAGCCGGAGCGGGAAGGCTCCCAGCATGCAGCCCAGCTGCACCCACCTGCACAGCGTCCCGGGGAGCGGCGATCCCTGCCCGCCATCCGCACACAGCTCCTGCCATCCCGGCACAGGGGCCGTGCACATCCAGCTGGGAGAAGCCAGGGACAGCCCCGGCTCCAGGAGGGGCTCCCAGAGCCGCTCCCACGGCCACGGGGAAGCGGCAGGAGGGCTGGAGGACGCCGGCCTGGACTCGGAGGAGCAGGGAGGGAGCTCCCTGTCGGAGCTGAGGCACCTCCTGCAGTGGCTGCACAAGAGCCTGCCCTACCTGCTGATCCTCTGTGCCAAACTGCTTGTGCAGCACCTCAGCGGTAGAGTATGACCCAGTGAGATGTGAGACAGGAAAGCCTCCCCCCAAAGAGACAGACTAATGACCTGATGGATGAAGGATAATTCAATCCATTTTTAGCTTGGTTTTTTATTTGCTTTATTCATCAGAAGGAGAGATTTGCTAAACTGCATTTCAGTGGCTTCTGTTTCCTTTGCTGGCATATGTACAATGTGCTTAATTATCCTGCTTGGAGAGTCTGAGCTATTAATTGTAATTACAAAGACATATTAGAAGTGGCTGCTTTTTAACCCAGTTCAGTGATGATTTTTTTTTCCCCTTTTCATGTGTATAACTGATCCTATTTTCCTAATAGGCATTTCTCTTGGAATTGGGCTGCTAACAACTTATGCCTATGCAAACAAAAGCATAGTAAATCAGGTTTTTCTAAGAGTAAGTATCATCCTATGACACAAAATTCTCTAAGTTAACCAAGACTTTTATTCATCAAATTTTGAAAGAAATGTGAATGGAAATACTGCCTTATTTACCTAATAATGTTAGGTATAACAAGGTTTCAAGATGGAAGTAGTCTTAATGCTTCTCTACAGTGTAGAACTTCTCAGATAATAAGCATAAAAAGAGGGGTTTTTTCCCCTCTGACTTTGACTGGAAATCACTTCAGCTGATAAAAGCTTCTTGTAATTTATGGAAGAACTTGTGGATTAAACAGCAGTTGACAGCTTAAATTTTCATCTCTCTTGTTCACTCCCAAAGGCAAACCTGTTGTTCCTTCAGAGTGGGGTGGGTTTAGTTGTGTTTCTAGAAAAAACCTTGACACACACACAGAGAAATTGGTATTCTGAAAACATTAAAATTACTGCTTTACCTCTCCCCTGAGCCCTCCTGTTTCACGTGGCCCCAAATGACTCGGATGCAGTGCTGTGGCAGTGAGTGTGCAGGAGCCACAGGTTTGGCTTTGGGGGGTGTTTCAGACCCTGCTCCTGAGGTAAGGACTGCAAAGTGCCCTCCCCATTCCCTGCAGGAACGCTGCTCCAAGCTGCAGTGTGCCTGGGTGCTGCTCTACCTGACTGGATCATCCCTGCTCCTCTACTACACCTTCCACTCTCAGGCCCTGTATTACAGGTAAGCACTGCAACACCTCTGCTCACACCACAAATCACTCTAAACCAACTGGGCACGTTTTCTTGGCTATTCCCAGACCCCCCAGTGGGTTGGATGTGCCATGGGAATGTCCTGGTTTGACTCCCAGCTTTGGCCCTGGGGGGCTCTGTGCACTTTATGACTCCAAGGGGTTTTTTCCCTTCATCCCCTCTGGGCTGTGAATCAAAGGGTAAATTCCAAACCAAAAAAAGCAAAGCCAGGCAGGAGGGTTGTGATGAAAGATGGGAAGGCTGTCAGAGATTCCCAAGGATCAATTCCCAATGAACAGTCCATTTTCTTTGTGGAAACCAGGTTTCCTTCTCTCACCTGCCAGGATAATCCCTGGTTACAGTTGCATCTACAGAGGGTGCTCCGGTAACTTCTGCTGCTTCTTTTTGTAGCTTAATCTTCTTAAACCCTACGGTGGATTTCATGAACTTCTGGGAGGTCCTTTGGATTGTGGGAGTCACAGATTTTATTCTGAAATTCCTGTTCATGGGCTTCAAGTGTTTTATTCTCTTGGTGCCTTCTTTTATCATGTCCTTTAAATCCAAGGTAAGGAAACAAGCTGTATCTTTGCTTCCTTGTGAAGATTCTTTTCTGGTAAAAATCAGCCTAATTATTAAATTCTATCTGGAGAAAAGCCTTTAATTAAAGATCTGTGTATAATCCACCCTGGGCAAGAAAACCCTGGGGATTTCCTGCCCTTCCCTGCTTGGTGCTGAGGAAGGTTGTCAATGAGATGGGAAACAATTCCTCGTATCCTGTCAGTGGATAGATGGTTTATTCCTGTCTCTGAGGTTGGTGTATTTATTTTTATCTGCTTCCCGAGGTGAGGCAACAAAACCAATTACATTTTATCTTGAAATTGCAATTGCCAAGTGCTGGTTCCAAAAAAATAAATGAACAAGTGCATTTTCATGTGGTAGCATCTGAACAGGATGTGTTTTGGGAGGTTTTATCTCTTCAAATGTGCCAGAACAAGTTCTTCTCAGGTACAACTGGCTTCTCTAAACACTGATTCATAATCAAGATCTTTGGGTTTTTCTACAGCTGGTGATGTAACATCTAAAAACCAGTTATTGAAAATTCCATGACACCAACTGTGACCTAAATTGTGCCTAAATTAAAGAAGGAATCTGATCAATGGTGGCAGATTGTGGCACTATCCAGTGCCCACTGTAGAAGGGGTGCTCCTTCTCTGCTATAAATCGAGTTTTAAAGAGAAACTGGAGGAAATGAAGTAAGAGCTGAGCTAAATATCTGATTATCCACACACAGGGCTCTGTGCAGGACACTTGTGTTTTGTTCTCAGGCATTTTTAGGGGGTTACTGGTTACCTGTTACCCCCTCCTGCTTTCCTGGCTCCCAATCCTCTTATCACCCCATCCCTGAAGGAGTTCATTCTCACAAGGCTTCTCACAGGGGCATGAAATCATGTTTACAGGGAAACAGGTTGTAATTAATGTTTGTTAATAAAAGGATGGGCCTTACTCTCCTTTTTTAACCCCCTGTGCAGGGCACAGCTCTGGCTCATGACAAACTGATCTATGTGACCAAATCTGGCTTATTTTCCTTTTTCATAACACTTTTATTTCCTATTTTTTACACTTATGTGTCTGACAGCATCAAACAAGCAGACATCATCTTTTAGCCCATGAATTTGATTTTCTGCAGCCCAGCCATGCATTCTGTTCCTGTCACCTGTCCAGCTGTTATTTCATATTGAAATACCGAGTTTCATATCGAGTTATTTCAAGACATTACGAGAGGGAGCTACTGAAAAAGAGTAACAATTCATCTTTTCTCTGTGTCTCCCAACCCCTCTGTGTTTGGAATCCCCTGCCTGTGCTGCTCAGGGGTACTGGTACCTGCTGCTGGAGGAGCTCTGCCAGAATTACCGCACCTTCGTGCCCATCCCGCTGTGGTTCCGCTTCCTCATTGCCCGTGGGGAGCTGGGCAGCGTCCTGGGATGGTCCCTTGGGATCCTGCTGGGCCTCCTCTACCTCACCCTGAAGGTGAGCTGTGCACTGCCCTCAGCCACCTGAGACACGACCCAGCCCTGCTGCAGGTCCCCTCTGTGCTCAGGGCAGGGCTGTTTGATTGGAAAACTGATCCAAAACCTGGCTCAGCACCCGAAATCAGCATTTCCTGCACCTGTTGTGGCAAGGGCTGGGATTGCAGAGCAAAGAACACTGATTGAACATCCCTTCAGATCAGCTACTGATCACTGTTGTCACATACCGAGGAAACCAGCAAAAATAGTGGCTGAAAGAACGGGCATTTTGCAGGCAGCTGCATTTTCTCTCTGCTGGAGTATCCTGTGGGGTTCTAAACAGTCCCTGCTGGCTCTCTGGGCACCAGGGAGCTCCTGTGCCCCACATGCACCCAGAGCCAGCACAGCTTTGACCACAGCCACTACCCCTGATGCCCTGGCACCTTCACTGCAACCCTAAAACTGTGGCAGGGACGATGAGAATGGTGAGATGTTTGCACTCAGATGCTTCAGTGCAGGACCTCAACACTGTTTCACTTCTAAAGAACAAACCTTAGTCTGGTTACACATCAAACAACCCAAAGAGGGTCAGTCTGAACTCTGCCTTTGCTCATCCAACCAGCAGTGAGAATCTGCCAAAAGCTTGGAAGACTTTTAAAGTTCACAGAGGAAAAGATACCAAGCATAACTCGAGTTTTCTCTCCCATTTCAGCTTCTGAGCTTTTTTGGACAACTGAGAAACTTCAGGCAGGTTTTAAGGACGTTTTTCACACGCCCAGTGAGTATTGAATTCAAAAATTCAAACCCATAAACCCAATTTACAGGGAAATACTTTCTAAATGCCTCATTCCTGTGTTACTTTGTACTGTCCTAGCAACAAACAACTGCATTTTTGCATCAAACCCTGTATACCCTTCTCCCATTTCAGTCTGAATTCCTTAACTAAGTGATTTTATTGCCATCTGAACAACCACCACCCCCTCCAAAATCTCTTCTGCACAACCCTCCAGATGAAAGGACGTGCAGCAACACCCCCTTTTTGGCCTGCTCCACTTCAAAAATCACCAAAATGTTTCCCTGGAGTAGGGATTTAATCCTGCTCCTGCCACAGCAGCCCTTCCTCCCAATTCCCTTCCGTCCTGGTGGGTTTGGTCGTGGCTTTTCCATCCCCCCAGCACCCCAAGGTGTGCTGAGGGCCCTTTGTTTTGCAGCACTACGGGGTGCCAGCCAGCAAGAGGCAGTGCTCAGAATCAGATGATCTCTGTTCCATCTGCCAGGCCCAATTTCAGAAGCCCATTCTGCTCATCTGCCAGGTAACAATCCCAATTATGACTTCTTTCTGCCAGTTAAACCCCAGAAGATGAGGTGGGTGAGTAGCTGTTTGATGATGAGCTGTAGAAATCAGGCTGGGCAGTTCACAGAGAGGGTTAACAGGTGGAAGGGCTCAGAAGCTCCAAGCTGTCCTGCTTTCCTTGCAGCACACATTTTGTGAAGAATGCATCAGCCTGTGGTTTAACAGAGAGAAAACCTGTCCCCTCTGCAGAACGGTCATTTCAGAGCACGTGAACAGGTGGAAGGATGGAGCCACGTCGATGCATCTCCAGATTTTCTAAAGCTTCTCAACCAACCTGCTGTGTCCCCCCTGGGTTTCTGAGGCTCCTGCAGGCTCAGCTGGAGGAGCTTTCCCAGTTCCACACCCAGGCTCCTGTCCAACCTCCCAGCTTTTAGAACAGGGCAGAAAATCCTGACTTGGCCTTTTGTAAGCAGAGAACACCGAAGGTTTCAGAATGAATGCAGAAAAAACCAACCTTGCTCCTCCTGTGACTGTCCCAGGAAACACAAACCCTGAAAGGTGCTACTTTAATTAAGGCTTTAATTCCACATTCTGAGTTCCAGACTGGGCTAAACTCTATTTAAATAATCTCATAACATAACTCAACCCAAAAGGTCAACCTACCACTTTAATGTGAGCAAATGTTTTACTCTGGACTCCAGTGACAATTAGAGCTCCCTGTCACACTTGCCATGAAAGATCCCTCAATGCCCACTCCATTAAATTGCTTTTTACTCCTGCACCTGGACCAGCAACTGTTTCTCACTGTACCTGGATAAGCACAAGAATAAGATCTTTCCCTTTAGGTTCTTGGAGGCTTCTGATGAATCCTGGGCTCAATCTTTTGCCTTTAAAGCAACCACTGGTGTTAGTTTTTTACTTGGCATTTTATAAAGCTGGTATTTTTAAAGCAGATCTTTAATATTCTATTTTTTGTCGTAACAGGAACCAGATTTTCTTACAGGGGAGAATCTATTTTATACTGTATTTGCAATTTGTAGTATGCATAAAAATCAGAGAATAAATGCATTTAAATCTACTTGTTTGGTGCATGTTGAATAAAGAAAGATTTGTTACTGTTTGAGTATTTAAAGCTCACTGCCAGGCCTAGTTTTGTTGTTAAATTAATGTCTCTGAAAAACAAAAATGCTTCAAAATCAACAATTTATCCATGATTAGGTTTTATATCAATTATAGCACTAATTATAAACAATCTCACTTGGTTTTCCTGCTTGTCTTTTCTCCCTGAAAGGCTGAAAAAGCCACTCAAATTATTCTGCTACAGGAAAGTCACATTTAGTTGCCATTAACTGAACACCTTTAGAAACTTCTAAATCGAGTAAAAAGAGAATTAAGGAGTGAAACTCTTACTTGGGCACGATGTTAGAGCAAAAAAAAGCACTTCTTAATTCCTCACTATTGATCAGATTAATAAGCATCAAGGACTGCAGGCAAGGCCAGATTTACAGCTGAAAGATATGAAACCAATTAAAGTATTGACTTGTGGTTAATAATAAAAAAACCACCAGCACAGGAACTCAGCAGGCCCATAAAGCTCCCCAGGATTATTTTATGGAGCACAACAAAGAGTGTCAATGCTTTCATTGACCCTGCTCCTCTGGGCTCTCTGCACCACCCAGGGTAAGGCTGGAGATTGGTCAAAAACAGCACCAGGGAGCAATTTGGGGTTTATTCCCTCTTTCTGTTGGTGTTTTGGATTTTTTTCCCTTAAAGATCCAGTGAAAAATGATCCAATCCCAGTAACACAAACAGGTTTTATTAAAGCCAAAGAACTATGAAGAGGTTTTGATTGACCGGTGTAGATTTACAGTTCAGAAATGAAAGTTTATCCTCATCTTGGACACTGAGGGGGGAAAAGGGAGGAACTCACCTGCAGCAGTGCCATCCTCCCTGATCCAGCTGCAGTCAGGAGGCAGCTCTTCCTGCTCCAGGCCAGGCTCACCTGCAGGGCAGAACAGAGAGCAGGTGACAAGTGACAACCAACAGCTGCTTTTCCTGAGCCCCAAAGCCCAGGGAAGGGCCCAGCCCCTGGGGACAGGCTGGGAAATGAGCAGCTCCCAGGGAATTCCTCCCTCCCTTTCCCCTCCAAGGTGTCACAAAGACAATGATTTCCATCCTGAGTTACACTCAGGGCCCACCTACTTCCTAAAAACAAATGACACCTGTTTTAATTTGCTTTTGGTTGCTCTTCACATCCATCTTATTTAGCACCTGAGGACATTTAGTCCCAGGGAGGTGGGGAGGTGAAAGCCAGGCCAGGGATTGCCTCAGCTGCACTGGGGCAGCCCAGGTGTGTCCTTGCAGCGGCTGCAGATGGAGTTAATCTGCAAGGGAACAACCTGCAGGGGTGCAGATTTGGGAGCTGCACTCAGGGGATCACCAAGGACCTGCAGGAAAAACACTCAATTTTCCTTGTTCTTAACGACTTCTCCTCCTCCTTTCCCCCTTAGGATAAAGGGAAAACCAAAATGGGGAAATGAACCCAAATATCCTGCAGGGCCAGAATTCACCCCCACCAACCCAACCCCACCCACATCCCAAAAACAAAGAGCCCTCCCTCGGTGTCTGAGGCACTTTCTGATTAACAGGACAGGTTGGGAGTCGACACTGAAGACACAACAGACCCCAAACGAAGCTGCAGCTGCAGGGGGGGCACTCAGAGATTTCATTCTCCAACAGCTCAGCTTTCCCAGAGCGACTCCGAGAAAAAGGGACATTCCACAGAAGCACTGACTCGTTGATTCTGATCTTTTATTATGAGCTAATACCAGGATGACATTCAAATGTCAGATGGCACAATTAAGACAGTCTTGGTAGGAATTATTCCAGCATTCCCAAAATTACAATTTAAGTTACACGAATGGCGTCAAATGCATCACTCCCACGAGAAAAACCGATGGAATTCCGAATTATCTGAGACCGGAAGAGTTTCTGCATCGAATGGGGAAAAAAAGAAAAACTGCTGGTAACACAGCTGACCTGGAAACCTTTTCTGAGAATGACCTGCAGAACAAAATATTTCCCTATTTAACATCTAGTAAAAAAAAATATGACTTTTTGTTCAAGTTTAAGATTTAATACTTTTTATATGGTTAGCCACAACAGGTATTAACCTCAGTTTTACTATATTTTTGTAATGCTACAAAAATCCTATAAAATCAAATTATAGTGAATTTCTCAGTGATTATAATTAAAAAAGCGCAGCTTGTACAAAATAAAAAAAATAAGATTCTATACTCTAATGAAAAATTTAAGACATTTTTAAATGAACAAAAGAAAGCACTTGTTAAGCTCTCCAATATTCAAATGCATTCTGCACTTCTCTGAAATAGCCAGACAGGAGCTACAACTCCACTCCCCTCGGTTCACAACTAGTAATTTCGACACTATTATATATATATATAGAGGATCTATGTCTGATATTTTTACAAATAAATACAGGATAAACCATATTGCATAGTGTGTGCTTGCTGTCTGAGTGCCACTCCCAGAGTTTCACAGTCCTGGTAGGGAATTCCACTTCAGAACCTACGGGATGGAGCATTGACAGTGCCCGGAATTGCCAGGGAAAACCGGGCAGTTGGGGCTGTAATTCCGTCAGTGAACTCAGACAAACAACTCTTGCCATTCTTGCCAGCCATAATTTACCAATTCCACTGGCCAATTTACCCAGCACGCCGGAAAGCAACCGGTGGCTGTAACTGGGACCAGGAGAATGATCTGCCTCCAGAAATGAGATCTGCCTCCAGAAACAGCATCTGCCTCCAGAAACAGGATCTGCCTCCAGAAACAAGACATCTGCCTCCAGAAACAGGATCTACCTCCAGAAATGACAGATCTGCCTCCAGAAATGACTGTTCTTTAAGCAAGTCCCTTTCTGCTCAGTCAGGACACCTGAGGAAGGAGCAGCCCAGAAGCTCCACGTGCTGGAGGTTGAGGCCTTTGCAGATGTTGCCCCTGCCAAGAGCAGTCCAGAACACAGGCAGGTTTGCAGGTGGGCAGAGTGCAATCAGCAGCACTCGGGTTTTGGGTTCCCAACATCCCCCCTCAACAGTGGCAATCCTCCAGCAGGGCCTGTGGCACTCACTCACTGCAAGGGAACTTGATCTGCCTCCCCAAATTATATTTTCTAACAAAAGGAAGAAAAGGAATATTAATTTTTGCTCGTTTTTGTTGGTGGTGGTACCAAGGTTGTCACTGAATCCTTCGGACCTGCAAAGCTGAGCAAAGAGCACTGAGCGGATTCAACGCTTGAGAGAGTTTTATGGCTTGGATCCTATGGCTCAAAAAAGGTTCAGTATCCACAGAGGAAGCAGAAATCGAGGATTAAAAAAAAAACAAACCCCTACTCGTTGTGAAACACCAGAAGTAGAACTTTGCACAGTTTGACCAAGGATAATGCAAGGGGTGGCAGGCAAAAAGTGACAGGACTGGGATGCAGCTGGATCATCTCCACACACACACACACAGCAGACACACCCTAAACTAGAGTAAAGCTCTGCAGATTTTAACCCTTTCACCAGCTATGCTCATGGCAATGCTTTCTTTTAAGGCAGGAAGTATATCTATATATTTAAGGAAGGTAAAGGTTTACCTTTATTTTATTCTTTGTACCTGTGAAGTCGTTTGTACAGATTGCGTGTGACAGTTTTTTAAAACCATAAATAGTGTCCTTTTAGAACAGAGTTTCCTAAAATGAAGGTTGCTAAAAGTTCTGACCCACTGTGGAAGACATTCACTGAAAGGCCATTGAACACTTTCCTCATACAATCAGCAAATTTATTGCCCCAGCATAGAAAAAAAAAAAAATGTGGAGGAATTTAGAAATGTAGAGTGGCAGGGAAGTCCCGTCAGCAAAATTTTATTAATAATTATAATATTAAAAAAAAAAAAGAAAAAAAAAATTCCTCAAATTCTTACCCACCGGTTACAAAAATAGTTATTTCCTTCCACGGGGCAGGGTTTGATCCCTGGGGGACTCGCCCTGGATCTCCACTGACCTGCTGATGGGAGGCACTGCCTGCTGATGGCACCGGCTGTGCTGAGCTGCCCCCAGCCCAGGAGCAGCAGCAGGGACACAAAAAGGGCTGTTCCCAGGGAATTGTCTGCTGAGGACAGGCAGGAAATAAAGCAGGACGTGTTGTGAGCCCGGGGCTTCCAGTTCAGCCTAGAACAAGGTAGCAGCATTGCCTCGGATGGATCCACTGTCTCTGCAGGAACAGGGAGTTCAGCTGGGCAAGCAGAACAGTCCTCTCCCCCCCCACACTGCCAGGCTGGCCAGGGATTCACTTACTGATGTGTTGTTTCGTGAGGAGAAGAATCAGAACCAGAGCCTTGACAAATAAAAACCAACCACGCTTTCTTCACCAATTATTCTCCGTCTGCAATTTTGGGATCCTTTTCCATAATGAGCTGAATCAAAAAAATCTATTTGAAAAATATATATATTTTTCTTTTTTTTTTTTTTTGTGTATATATATATATATATATATATAAAAAAAACCTCATTATGTTTTGAGTGTGAGATACCAATTAATTTTGAGCTTTCATCTTTGATTCCACCCCATTGTAGGAAACCTCTTAAGGAAGCTTGCATGCTCATCACCCCTCAGCTGCAAGCACAGGCATTTCATCCTCTGCCTGGTGAAAGGGCTAAACCCTCCTCGACACATTCACTACACCAGTGATTCTGGAGCAACATCCTGACCCTTAAACGCCGTCAGTTCCGAGCTGAGAAATCCTGGATAAAGGTGAGCAGATGTCACTGGAATCGTTGGATGACGTGCCTAGAGTTCTGCGATACCATTTTGCTAAAGTCTTGTTTGTTTTTTTATGCACCATTGATTCGACAGGAAAAAAAAAAAAATTAAAAAAAAAAAAGAAAAAGAAGAATCCGTTGTTTCTTTGTGTGGTTTTTTTTTTTTTTCCTTTGCTTTCCGAGCGTCTCTGTGCAAGGACTGACTCTCTGATGCTGTCACTGCTGGGCAGCCCCCCGAGCAGGTGTCCTGGCGGGGCTGTCATAGGTTCATGCGCAGGTGCTCGGGCCGTTTGGAGATCATGGGGAACGCCTGCTTCTTGTAGGGCCCCGAGTTGGGCTGCCGGATGGGCAGCGGCGCCGACGCCTCCCCGCACACCGACACGTCCATCTGCTCGATGCCGCCGCTCTCCAGCGGGTACTCCACGGGGGGCTGGCTGTTGGACGTGCCTCCTGAAGCGCCTCGGCCCCAGAACTCCCCGGGGGAAAACTTGACAGGGCTTGGGAGACAAGAGAACACAGGGATGAGAGCTGGAGAGGCAGCACGAGGGGTGTGCTCAGCCGTGGGATCGGGATCGACAGGCTGGGAAGAGAGCTCTGAGATCACCGAGTGCAAGCCTTGATCCGACCCCACCGTGGTTACCAGCTCATGGCACTGATGCCACATCCAGGCTGTCCTTGAACACCTCCAGGGGTGGTGAATCCACCCCCTCTCTGGGCAGGCCATTCCAGTGCCTGAGCACTCTCTGGAAAGAACTTCTTTCTAATACCCAACCTAAACCTCCCCTGGCACAGCTTGGAGCCCTCTTGTCCTGCTGCTGATTGCCTGGGAGAAGAGCCCGACCCCCACCTGGTCCAACCTCCCCTCAGGGAGTTGAAGAGAGTGATGAGGTCACCCCTGAGCCTCCTCTCAGTGCCTGCTGAGGAGCATTTCTAATCCTTCCTTCCACTTCCAGAGGTTTGAGGAATTTCCATGGGTAGTTCCACCACTGTCTCTTGGGGAGTACCTTTCTGTCAGCTGAGGATGTATTTTAAGTGACTGCAGAACCAATGAAAGGCTTATCAGGAAGGAAAAAAAACTACTAATTTTTGCTCAATCAAAAACCCACTAATTTTGCTAAGCTTGAGAGGGGAGGCTAACTAGTTAATTAATAGCTAATTATTCAGGAAATAATAATTAATCATAAATAACTGCTGATTTTGGCATTGCAATGGGCTGCCCAGGGAGGGGGTGGATTCTCCATCCCTGGAGGTGTTTAGGAGATTGGATGTGGCACTGAGTGCCATGGCCTGCTAACTGTGGTGGCACTGGGTCAATGGTTGCACTTGATGATCTCTGAGGTCCTTTCCAACCCATCTGATTCGATGATTCTGTGATTCTATAACCATCTTTTCTGGTTGGTTCTTTGTTAGTACCAAGGTATTGCTGAATCCTTCCAACCTGCAAACCTGAGCAGAGAGCCCTGACTGCACTGACACGATTCCTCCTGGACTAACGTGGTTCTTTAGCAGCACAAAGCCCTTGGGATGTTCTGAAACAGTTCCAGAGGGGTGGTGAACCAAAGTCCCTGGAGTGAGGCTGTATCAGCACTGAAAAGCAGCACATCAGTGCTTCCTGTGCTGCCAACCCCCCCAGATTTGTCTTTAATAATGTGGTTTGTGGAACAGCATCGACCCTGTAACTCAAATGGAAGTGCTGGGCTGGCAGGCAAGGCTGCATTTTTAATTTCCACTTGGCCAAAGGAGTGTCTACAGAACAAGAAAAGAAGGAAAAAGGAGGGATAAAAGACAGGTACCTGACTGGTGTCCTTGGGCTGCCGATGAACCTGCGAGGGGAGCGGATTTTTGGTTCAAAAGAAAATTTCTCTTTTACGCTTTCAAGTACAGATGGAGCCACGTAGGTGAAACCCTGCAAGGCAGCAAGAGAAGCAACATTTACACTGGGCATCACTGCAGTGAGCACATGAAAACCCCACCACGATGAGGGAATTACAAAGCAAGGGTAAGGGCAGACTGCTGGGATTTCAGGGAGCTGCCAAGCTGATGCTCCAGCCCGGCTCTTTGTGCTCCCATCAGATGCCACAGGCACACTCAGTCTGATTAACTGTGCTCTGTAAATGGATGTTGTCCTCTCTGCATGACCCATGGCCAGGGTTCAGGATGCAGCTCTGATCAGAACCCTACAGGTCACAAAGGAGGCCCCACTTGCTGGCTTGGGGTACAAAGGGCGTCAGCAACATCAAAGTGTCCTCCAAGCCCCTCAGCATCTCCAGCCTGGCACAGAGTTTGTGTCCAGCCATCAGAGTTTGCTTCAGGCAGCAGTTGGGATTCAGGAGAATGGATTTAGCTGCAGTGCCCACCCTGTTCCCAGCCAGAACCCCCCTCTCCAGCCGTTCCTCACTCACCAGAAAGACCTGGTTGGCACTTTCACTGAGAGTTGAGTCATCTGGGCTATCAACAGGTGTCTGACGTGTAAACTTTGAATCAAACTGGCTCACATCCTCTTCAGATTGCTTTGCAAAAACAAAATGGTTAAGGGTTTATATTACAGATATCAACCAGTGCAGCCTCTGGATGGAGTTCATTCCATAGGTTTTTGGCAGAGCTCTGCTGGAGGAAAACCCTGGAGTGGTGTCGGAATCCTGTCGCTGCCAGTGGGAGGTCACTATGGGCACTGACACTGAGAAATAAAGGCAAGGGGGAGGGGCAAAAATTATGGGTCAAAAAGGAACACAAATTAAAAAGATGCCTTTAAAAAAAAAAAAAAAAATCTCAAATCACAAACAGAAGCTTTCAGAATGACAATGCCAGTTTCTTGCCAAGTTTAGCCCTCGTCACAACCACAACAGTTGCAACTCTCAGAATGTGGAACCTCTCCAGGTAATTTAATCCCATTTTTGCAGATACAGAAGGTGTGAGGGATGGAGGACAACTCTGGAGTAAGTGATTGTTTGATTTGGCCACAGAACAACAGTAACTCCAGGTTCCCTCCTCTCACTGATTGTGGACCCTCCTGCAACCATGGAAGCACATTTGGAAAAACCACCTTGTCTGTACAAGTAACTTTCATAACAGAAAAACCCCAAACCACCTTCAGTAATTCATTCAGGAATATCAGTCTTGAGGTCTTCCTGAATTTCATTCCCAAGGGTGAAGGGAAAAAGATCTGCAGTCCCCATGCTGGACATCAGTGATGCCTGAGCCAATTTAAAGGGAGATTTTTAGTAGTTGGGAACTGTGGGGGTGACAAAACCCACTGCTGCTGTAGCTGATTGTACCCAGAGGGAAAATCAGACATCAAAATATGAGCTGGGATAACAGAGATTGGTTCATCACATCACTGGTTTGAGTAACTCATCACATTTGGGGTAAGCTCTAACTGCTGCCCAGAATGCACAAGAGGCACTGTAAATATTAATAATAAACACAGAAATGCTTGAATAGGTGATTTCATTGACTTTTGCTTAGCAGCTCTTTCTCATTTTAGTTGAACCTAAGGCCTGACTCACTGTAGAGGTTCAGAAGCAGATTCAGAGTGAGTTGCTTAGCTGGGTCTGTTTAACCTCCAGGTGAGGAGCAGGAGGAATCCAGAGCGGAGCAGGTAGGGCAGATCTGCCTCTCGGAATCTGTCACCCAAGCTGTACCCTCAGTGCCAGGAATCAGTGGCACTCCAGTCTGTAATCCCACATCAAGGCCTCTCCTAAAGGCACACAGGGAGTGTCTCCCAGCACTCCCAGTACATACCAATAAGGGTTTAAAAGGAGGTTCCACCTTTCGTGCCAACAGCTCGTCCCAGTTGATGTGTCTGAAGAAGGGGTGAGCCTGCAGGGGTTACAACAGCACAGTCAGCACCTCCTCTGGGGCACAAACCACCCCAAATTAACCACTAACAGGAGCTTCTCACACCCTTTCCCTGGTGGCTCTCCTTCCAAAATCACAGCTGGCTTCAGTGCAATGAGTTCTACCTCAGAGGAGCTGAGAATTGATACCACAACTCCAAGGAGGACACAACTGTGTCCCTGCCATGTTTTCCTTGGAAGGGTTAGAAAAAGCCAGTTCACATGCAAAACACCTCAGCTTTGAAAGGCAGATACCTAAAAACCACGACAAAACATTGGATTAATGCCCAGTTATCAGAGCTGTGAAATAAGGAACTGTCTAATATGCTGTTAATGGCACCACAAAACCAAAACTCAAGTTGGAAGCAACAGGGACTGAACCTCTGCCTTGGTTTTTAACTTTTCCCTTGGAATAGCTGCACTAATGCAAGGGCTGGCAGGGTTTTCCCCAGGGTTGCACAATTAGCAGTGGACAACTGGTAGGAAAGATCTGCTGGAAGACAGAGCTGAAGAACAGAAGTTATCTTCCAAATCTCCAGCTATCCAGACAGCTGCTCTTGGGCAGCTTCCAAGCTTTCAGATTTGGATCAGCTGTCACACCTGGCAGCCTTTCTGCTCCTCACCCTTCCAGACAGACACAAACCCTCCTGCCCTGATGGACCCTCAGAGCTGTTCTCTTCTCAGGGAGGTGAATTTAAGAGTTCTTGAGTGCAGTGCAAGTTACCTGAACTTCTCCAGCATCTCCAGGACCAGCTCCTAGACGTGAGGCAGCGTTTCTTTTTAGCAGCTTCATGAGAAACAACAACATCCAGAAAAGCAGAATTAGTTGTGCTGTCCCGACTGGACCAGCCCTGACAGGACTCATCACTCGAGTGAGCACTGCAGAGTGCAGGGAGGCTGATCAGAAAATCTGCATTTGTTAGGAAACGGCTGCATTTACAAGGAAAATCCCTTCCTGCACCACACACCACCAAACTGACTGATTTAGGGATAAATCGAGCTGGGACTGAGCAGCCACAGTGGTGTCACTGTGTTTTTATTTCCTCCACAATGTACAGGACTGACAGGCATTAAAACTGTACCTTTTTAAGCAGATCTCTGGCTTCTTGTGTGAGGTAGGGAGGCAAGTTGAGTTTACACTTGAGGATCTTGTCAATTGTTTTCTTTCTGTTCTCCCCAGTGAAAGGAGGCTGGAAAGCACCATTGGAAGGGGAGGAAAAACAGGACTTGTTCAGGTCTCTTATTTGTGCACACACAACTCACTTCAGTCATTTACAAAGCAGGAGAAATTACTGCAAACAGGACTTGAAAATCACTCTTTGGGTAAAAGCAGCTCAAGGCTGTAGTGAACACAACTTATTTCTTACTTGCAGTCTGCTTTATGTATCAATTATTTGTATTTATACATGCATCTGAGTGAGGACACAGGGCACTACAACAGCTACAAAGGGAAATACATGCAATTATAACTGTGCACCTACTGCTCCAGTCAGCATGTCATACATTAATGCCCCCAGACTCCACCAGTCCACAGCACGGTTATGCCCACTCCTCATCAGGATTTCAGGGGCCCTGTGAGCAGAAAAAATTGAAAAGGTGAAGGTGTTTTAACAGCTCAGTGCCCATTCTGACTCCTAGTTCTCAAGCAAACCCACACCGAGCAAGGAAAGTTCTCCTAAGTCGCTGAACTCATGAACCATCCGTTAAAAAAAGGGCAAAATTCAGGCATTACCCCCAGGGCAGAGTAATAACTTTTGTATTTCATCATGCAGCTCACATGTATTCAATTGTTCCACAGAATGTGTGTGTGACTGTTCCATCGTGGATAGATTCTTTACATAATCCGAAGTCAGTCAGTTTGACGTGACCTGAAATGAAAATACAGAAAATATCACAATCCTGACACCTCTGTAAGGAACATCAAAAACCAGAAAATTCAACGTGGGTCTGTAAAAACTCTGAGCTGCTTCCAGATGTTTTCAATGGTCTGACAAAGCAGTAAAGTCATAAAACAGAACGAGGTAATCACACCAAGATAAAAACTAAATGTTGCCACTTGAAGAGAAACAAGACAAACCACCAGAACTTACAGGTAGACAAATGTAGTTAAACACAGAGATTTAACCTAAGAAAGCAGGTTACTGAATTTCACTTAAGAGGGAGGAGTGGTGACCATTTGCATCTCCCAGTGCCTGCCAGGCTGACTCAGGGCTGCATTTCTACCTTGGTGGTTGAGCATGATGTTCTCTGGCTTCAGATCCCGGTAGATGATTCCTTTTTGATGCAAGTGCCCCAGTGCCATCGAGATTTCTGCCAAGTAGAAGCTGAAAGGAAAACATGTGCCACAAAATCAGACACACTCAGTCATGCAGAGCAGCTCAAGAAGCGTTCTGTACCCAGCAGCAGTTCCTTGAAAGCAGCATTAGAAGTCTGGGAGAGAAGGAATGAGAAACAACGATGCCTTTGAGGTCGGTTGGTCTAAAAGTCACCCAGGAACCACAAAATGACACATTAGCCTTGGGTTTACCTGCTCAGGAGGCATCTTAGAATGAATCTGTTGGGAGGAATCTGAATTTTGAACCATTTTTAGTGGTTCAAATGTGTGTCTAACCCCACCCAGATGGCAAAGCTGAGAAGAAATCACAAAACTGAGAGGTGACTGGCAGCAACCAGAGTCCCACATGGACATCAGAGCTTTCCCAGGGAATTGTCCATGGAAGAAAAACTGAATTCAGTACAAAGCCTGCTCAGTAAGGGATAATTTCAGCTTGTCTACCTGTAAGGTATCACTACTCCAAAGTATTTTCCTCCTGCATTAACAATTATCACTTAACACAGCCACTGCAGTGACCTGGGGGTTCTGGAGCCAGCTGGGAAATGGGCTGTGGATCCAGAACAAACAGAACTGCATTCCCAGCAAACCATTCCCAGCCTTTTCTCCAGCACCCAGAACACCTCCCTGAGCACAGCCCTGTGGGAAACACCCCCAGTGGCCCCTCCTGTGTGGAAAGAGTGGAGTTAGAGCAGCACAGACACCCTCCCCAAACCCACTGAGCTGCTCCTTTCACCAGCTGGAAATGACTGATGACTTACAGAGAGTTTAAGCACTTGGAAAAAAAAAAACCCAACCTATTAATTTACAAAAATAGCTTCACTTACCAAGCTGTGTCTTCCATAAATATCCCTTCTCTCTCTAACTGCATAAATAGTTCTCCTCCTGTCACGAGAAAAAAATAGATTATACTCAGTTAAAGTATCATTTTCTGTCAGTCAAAAGTCTATTTTCTAGGAAAACTACAAGCAACAGGTATTTTTTCCTCCTGTACAACATGTTTCACCCAAAAAACCCAAGTCACTATTCTGCTCCTCTCAGAATTCCAGCAGCCTAAAGAAATGTTGGGAAAAAAAGGAGCATTTCTGTCCCTGCTTTTTGTTGTTACAGCTTTGAGAAAACTGTTTCTCATCTGTGACTGTTTCCTTACCCCTGAAATAAAGGGGGTCATGAAGAATCTGCACAAACTAAACCCTCAGGGACTCTCTGACTGCACCCAATCTTAGTGTAACACACAAAAATGCCAAGTTTCATTGAATTATAAACTTTATTTCTGTTGTTCTTGGTGTTTTTAACACTAAGCTGCTTCCCATTTTAAGACACCAAGCCAATGGTGAGCTGGCCTTTTACTCCTGGGGTGAGAACCCCAATGTCTCGGTGGTGTAGAACCCCAGCAGGTGACAGAATTTCAAGTACTGACCACTGAGATACTCAAGGATGAGGTAGAGTTTTCCACCAGTCTGAAAGGCGTAAATTAAGTCTACAATGAAGGGATGTTTCACTTCCTCCAGGATATTCCTCTCTGCTTTCGTGTGAGCCGTGTCCTTGGCGTTCCTTACAATCATTGCCTGTGGAAAGCAGGGACAGGAGAGCACCAGAACATGTTAAACCAGGCAGATTTTATATCGAGTTCAATTCTGAGTTTATTAAACCATCACTCTATGTATGAGTCAGCAACAGCATAAAAAAATAAAGTCACCACAGCCTAAGTCTTTATTTCATAGAATTACACAGCAATTTAGGTTGGAAGGAACCTCCTGGCCTATTTAAATGAGCTGCTAAGAACTACCTAGACAGAAAAATTCCAAGTTTAATTCAAATTCCAATCCTACCTGGGCATCAACTGTATATATACTAAAACCTAAAACTTATTTTTAGGTATAATAAATCATCAGATAACTGTAAAAGCTAAATGGGAGGACAGGCTGTTTTAAGACTCAGTGAAATGTGAACATCCAGGTTACCTTTTTCAGAACCTTCATGGCAAATATTTTCCCGGTGTTCGCTCCGGTCACTTTCCGCACTTGGAACACCTGAACGACGACACAAATCACATTACAGTTACAACTGCACCGAGATGGAAACGAGAATTCTGCTAAAGAGAGGTGAGGTGACCCACAAACCACATGGCTGCCTGAAGGGGCAGAGCTGGTGGGGGGACCCAGAAGCAGTTTGGGACAATTCCTGCTGCCAGAGCTGCAGCTGCTCCGCCTGGAACTCCGTCCCACCGCATCAACCGGGGGGTTCCCCTCTGGCAGAATGAACTCTGCAGGAAGCAGGATGGGAAGCCCAGAGCTTGCCCAGGGCAGCAGAGAGCCCTGTGCCAGGCCATGGTGTTGGAGCTGCAGGGAGGCAGCAGGAATCGCTCACCTTGCCGTAGCCGCCCTTGCCCAGCACGCGCAGCAGCTCGAAGCACTCGGGCCGGATCTTCTCGGGGCCCCTGTTCACGCTGGTCTCTGAGATCTCAAACTTCTCACAATGCTCCATGCCCCTGCAGAGGACAAAACTGGGATGTAAAGCCTACCTGGCAGCCCTGATGGAGCACTGAAAGGAAGGAAGTGACTCTGGGACAAGCCTGACCAAGGAAGGGCTCCCCGGAGAACTCTCAGCACCAGGAGCGTCGTTTAGAAAAGAAACGTCGTTTGCAAAGCTCCAAGTGCCAACCTGCACAGAGCAGATTACCTGCACATTTTGGGGGTTTAGAGGATCAAGATCTCCTTCAAATCCCTGCATTTCAATCCATGCACAGTGCTCTGCATGACAGCAGAGTTAAGTCTGGCAGATCAAAGCCTCACACTGATTTAGACACCTCCTGGAGAGCTGGAGGAAACACGAGGCTCTGAGGGGGGATGATTGAGGGTCAGCTCACAATCAGCAGCCCCAGCAGTCCTGGGGAGACCCCCAGAGCACGGACACCTGGCAGAAACAGCTGCAACATGCCCCAAAAATCTGATCCATAATTTAAGGACGCTTCTCAGTCGTGCTGCAGCTCTGCCAAAGTTTAACAGGAGCAAAGACAAGCGGCAAATTCACCAGGATTTTGTTGTTATTATTATTATTATTATTATTATTTCAAGATACAATTTGTAAATTGGAACGTGAGGCAATAGCAGAATGTCCAGAAATGACACAAATCTGAGCCAGAGTGACAACATTTTCTAGTTGCCTTAATAATGGGACAAAATGAGAAGTTATGGGTATGATACAGGGTATTTTCCAGCAGCAACTTACAGGTCATATTGGCCAACTCCTCCATGGTCCATGCTCTCACTTAACTGACCCTGGGGATGGGAGGGGTAGAAGGAAGATTAATTAGAAAAAAATTAAAAAATCATTACAAAGAAACTCACTGCTGTGTCTCAGAGCTTCTTACATTAAAAAGAAATACATGTCATTTTAAGTTAGGTAATTAAACAAGTCTAAAGGTCAGGAATAACAAATTCTCAGCAGAAGATAAAAAAAAAAAAGAGGCACAAAATTCTGGGCAAGGTTTGCAGTGCTTGCACCTGACTCAGACAGAGAGAACCACTGCCTCACCTGGCTGTGCTGTTACCCAGGTACAAATTCACAGCCCCAGGGCAATCTGAAAAGCATTCAGATGTTGCATTTTTCTTTAGAGGTGCTCTGACAGGGATTTTAAAGCCCTATTACAGCACTATGCAAATCAGAGCAATAAGATGATGGCAATAAGAGCTGGGACTCACAGGCACTAAAAGCAAATAACACACAGAGCAGGTTTTATTATTCTATATTGAGAATAATTCAATATAGAATTATATTCTATGTTAAAGCTCAGCTTTGCTCTGATGCTGAACACCTCTCCTGACCAACAATCACCCCACAGATTAATCATGTAAATATTACTAAAGGAAACTTCAGGCTCCTCAGCCTCAGAACCAGCCACCAGCGAGGACCGGGGGTTAATTCTGAAGAGACATTTCCTGCAGAGAATTTTCCACCTGATCCCTCCTGCAAGATAACACTTCCCTCTCACTGGGGCTCTGAGGCCAAAGAAGTGCAGAGCAAGCAGACAGCTGGAATGAATGCCCATGGAATTCCATGGGCCAGCTTCGAGGGAGCTCAACTATCCCCCACAACTTTCATTTTGGAAAGTATGGACACAAAAATAAAAATAATGACAACTGCAAGGAGATAAACTGAGTGACCTGGGAAATTCAGGGGAAGGAAGGGAAAGAAAAAACACTGAGAGATGCAAAAAGCAGCCCAAGGAGAGCATTTTAAATATTATCTAAGTGAAAAAACACCGACCAAAGAAAACCAGCAACTTTCAGCAGCTTCCAGACCATTTACACGTTCAGGTTTACAGAGGTTGGTTCATTTAGGGTGGGTTTAAAGGGGAATTTAACCCCTCCAGGCACCACAGGCACTGAGGGAGGCCCAAAGCTAAGGTTTGATTCCAGGTCCTGGCATTTACTAAAACACAGCTTACTGACTTGTTTCCCAAAAACCCACTGAGGCTGCCCTTGACCCCACTCCTGAGGCCAACAACTGAATTTAAAAAAAAAAAACCTCCACAAACACAGAGAATAAACAGCCATCGTGTTCCCAGAGCAACCCCTGCAGTTACCCAACGCTTCTGGAAAAGTTTCCGTGTGCTGCTCCTGCTCCTGTGAACTTTGGGTTTCATTCCCAGCGTTAACTTGGCCAAAATTCACTTTGGGGACCGTTCTGCTGTGTCAGGGTTTGTTCTCCTTCCACTCCTTCAGCCTCTCCTCACAAACACAAACACTGGGGCTGGGTGGTTTTTCACACCACAATAATTAGTGCAAACAACCGCAGGGCTTTTGAGGAAAGGCTGCATTTAACAATCCCTTGGATTTTCTGGGATGGCTGTGCCTGTTCCAACCCACAGCTCGTGTGTCAGGGCCCCTCCCCAAGGCTTTGGGAGGTACCAGAGGTGACACAACACAGTCCTGACTTCCCACCTCAATCCCACTTTAATGATCTCAACTGCAACGTCCTCCTGATCCTTGCAGGACAAACACACACAACTTCCACTGAAACATCCTTCCCTCCACACACCTTCCTGGTGCTGCCCTTCTTCCCTGATCTCCAGCTGCTTTACTCCCAGCTCTCCCTCTCCTTTATCTGTTTGCAAAAGGCACCTGAGAAGCAGCTGAGGTTGCCAACACCCATTTGTTGCTTCTCCACAAAAAAAACTTCTGTGGCAGCAACGTTTTTAAATCCACAATAAGCACTGAATGGTTTGATTGTTCCCCGGGGCTGAATTATTGGAACAGGAGACAGAACAAACTCCACTTTGCTGCCTCCCCCTCGGAACCTGCTCCTGGCAGCGTTAACCGTCTGATGCAACTACGGGGGGGGTTTAAGCCAAGGGTTTTATTGATCACTGAGGTGACAAACAGAGCTTCTCCCTGCAGGTCGAGGAGCTTTCAGCTGTCAAAAAACATCCTACAGTTTATATGGAGAGGGGGCTGAGCATCTGGTGGCGTCCTGGAGGGAAGGACCTGAGGGGAGTCCACAGGAGAGGTGGAGAGGAACTTTATACAAGAGTGACAGGACAAGGGGAACGACTTCCCACTGCCAGAGGGCAGGGCTAGATGGGATATTGGGATGAATCCTTCCCTGGGAGGGTGGGCAGACCCTGGCACAGGGTGCCCAGAGAGGCTGTGGCTGCCCCATCTCTGGAGTGTCCAAGGGCAGCTTGGAGCAACCTGGGATAGTGGAAGGTGTCCCTGCCCATGGCAGGGCTGGGACTGGATGAGCTTTAAGGTCCCTCCAACCCAAACCATTCCACGATCTCAAGGACTCGAAGGATGCCATCAGGCATTTAAACAGCAGAAAATAAATGCAGCAGCAGTTTAAACAACACCAAACCTTTAATACGCGATTTAAAAAAGCAACAACAGCACCGCCGGAAAAACACGAACAAACTCTGCACTAACCCTGCCCCAGAGCCGCGGCAGAGCCCGGACGGACACCCCGAACCGCCAAGTGCTCCGCAGAGCCCGGCACACACCGACACACACACCGACACCCCCGGCACACACCGGCACACACCGACAAACACCGACACCCGGCCCGCCCAGCGCGGCGCTTCAAACCCGCGCCCTCAGCTCGGCCGCCGGAGCGGGGAGTGCGGAGCGAGCCGCGCTCCGGCCCCGCCGCCCGGGCGGGTGGCGGCAGAGCCAGGGAACGACCCCGCGGTGCCGGCGCCCAACTTCGCAGGGGAACAGCTCCGCCGGGGCCGGATGGGGCGGCGCGGGAGGTTCGGGAGGTCCGGGCTCTCCCCGGGCGCCTCAGCGCGGCCCCCGCGGCGCCTCCCGCCCGCCTTCCCTCCTCCCTCCCTCAGGCCCCGCGGCCTCCGCGCTGCCGCTCTCACCCCCTCCTCCAGCTCCTCGTCCGAGCCCGCGTCCTCGGGCTGGTCCAGGTCGATGTCGAACACGCCCGCCATGGCTGTGTGGTGGCTCGGCCGGGGCGCGGGCCCAGGGCCGCCTCATGGGCCGGGCCCCCGCAGCGCCGCCATCACCGGCTGCGCGCCCGCAGCGCGCCTGCGCGCCCGCCCCGCCCGCGCCGCCCCGCCACAGAGCAGGCGCGGAGCAGCCGCGGCGGGCGGAGCGTGCGCGCTGAGCAGGGGGAGGCCGCGGGGGAGAGCGGCTGCCAGGACACAGCGCTGCGCGTGCGCAGAACGGAGCTTCGGAGAGACCGCCAACAGGGTGAGGGGAGAGAGGAGGTGAGGGGAGAGGGGATGGGATTGGGGAGAGAGGAGGTGAGGGGAGAGGGGATGGGATAGGGGAGAGAGGAGCGATGAGGGGAGAGGGGATGGGATAGGGGAGAGAGGAGGTGAGGGGAGAGGGGATGGGATTGGGGAGAGAGGAGTTGAGGGGAGAGGGAGTGGGATTGGGGAGAGAGGAGCTGAGGGGAGAGGGAGCGGGATTGGGGAGAGAGGAGCTGAGGGAGCGGGATCGGGGTGGGATGGGGGAGAGAGAGCGTGAGGGGAGAGGGGTAGGGGGGGAGTGGGGGTGGGATGGGATCGGAGTGGGATCAAGGTCGGGACCAGGATCAGGGTCGGGACCAAAATTAGGACCGGGATGTGATCGGGATGAGGATCGGGATCACGATCTGGTCTGGGATGCGATCAGGACAGGGATAGGATCGGGACCGGGATGAGATCTGGACGATCGGGACCTGGATGGGATCAGGATCGGGACCGGGATGGGATCAGGATCGGGACCGGGATGGGATCAGGATCGGGACTGGGATGGGATCGGGACCGGGATGGGATCGGGACCGGGATGGGATCAGGATCGGGACTGGGATGGGATCGGGACTGGGATGGGATCAGGATCGGGATTGGGGGATCGGGACACCGGCAGAGGGTCCGCCGTGCCGGGCAGGGCTCGGGGAGGGCTCGGGGCGAACATGGCGGCGGTTCTGAGGGGAGCCCTGAGGGGGCTCTGAGGGCACGGCCACCCGGGGGGGACGGGCGGTGTCGCACAGGTGGGACACGAGCCTTTCCCGAGGAGGAGAATTCACGTGTTTGTTTATTCTCGGTCTCGCAGCAGCGCTGGAATCACGCCCCGCGAGCCAAATTAGCACAAACCTGCCGGCAGAAGGCGGCACAGGCACCGGCAGCATCCAGGGAATGCTGGTACGGGAATGCTGCGGCACAGCTGGGCTGGGAACGGGGAACTGCAGCTCGGAGTTTTAAAAAAAACAAACTGACCTTGTTTCTGTGCGTAGAAAAGCGAGAAAGCAGAGCTGCTGTAAAATGCTGAGTGGGGAAAAATGTCAAAATGCACCGGTGAAAAGCTTTGCTCTGTGTGCTGGAAGCAAAGGGAATGCTCCAGGGAATCCTTTTGTCATCTCAGCAGGCTCTGGCATCAGGCCTGGAGCAGAACAGGACTGGAAATCAGCTACAATTTTGAACAGGCTCAACGTTTCTAGGGGCACGTGGCGCTTGCTTATTGTGCTTTTACAGCCTAATCACTTGTTTCTATCCTGCCCTACTGAGCAAAAGTAAGAAAACAAACGATTTCCTTGCTGCGTGGCTGGCCCCAGCTCCCTCCAGATGCAAAACAGCAGTAAACAGCTTGGTTCCCTGCAAAGTGCCATCCCTCTCTCCTGGCATTCAGGAGGAGGGGCAGCCAGGCAGCTTTTCCCCAGAAACAGCCACTGGTTGTGCTATAACCACTCTCAAAAAATGGCAAAGCTGGTCAGAAACTTCTCAGAACTGTTTTCCCCACCCCATCTTTTCCACAGTTACTAAAGGACATCGTTTCTCTTTCAGGCTTGAATCGAGGATGTCAATTGTCACTGTCCAGCTGGGGCAGTGTGGGAACCAGATTGGCCACGAGGTGTTCCAGTCCCTGTGCAGTGACATCCACGGCACTCACGGGCTGTGCTCCAGGGAGGAGAACCAATCCTACCAGGATGCCTGCAAGGAGAGGTTTTTCTGGGAGGAGGAGGGATCTGGAGGTACAGCTTTAAAAGGGCTTTTTAAAATTTTTTTTTTTCCCCCCACACAGGGTCTGTTTTCAGGACACAGGAATAAAACAGGTGGGTTTTTTATCTGCAATCTGGAAGGGCTGTCCCAACTGCACTGCTGCAGACGTGGAAGCACAATCACTGCAGTGAAGGGGCTGAGAAGACAAAGCCAATTTCCCAGCAGCACAGCTGGAAACAAAACATAATCTTTCCTTCCAAACCATCTGCATTTCCTGCTGTAGATGGGTCACACCACAGAGTAGGACCCAGAGCATCCAAATTTGACACTGTCAAACACGTGAAGGGGTTTCTTTTCCTGACAGATCTCGTGGTGTCTGGAGTTCAGATTTGTCTTTGGCACAATATATGGGCATGGCCAGATCCTTTCTGTGCCTGTCCCATTAGTGGCTGGGATAATGTGGGTGGGAGAAATATCACCTGGGACATGGCACCCATCCAAATCCATCCATTTTACAGGAACGTGGAGCCACATTAATCTTCAATCTGTTTTCCCTCCTCTCCAGTGCCTGTGGCCCGAGCTGTGCTGGTGGACATGGAGCCCAAAGTCATCAGCCAAACCTTATCCATGGCTGCCAGGTCTGGCTGCTGGAAATACAACCACCAGTCCCACTTCTGCCAGAAGCAAGGCTCTGGGAACAACTGGGCCAACGGGTATGGAGAGCTGCTCCAGGCTTCCCAAAAAGTATGGAGGATGAGGGGCTGCTGACACTCTCTAGGAGTGCAGCTGAGTAGGGAAGAGGATTTATTTGTAAGTTAAAGTAGAAATATGTAGGTAGCAGTGAAATTTTCGAACTGATTTTTGCAAGAGGAAAGTGATGTTTGAATCCCAGAATGGTTTGGGTTGGAAGGGACTTGGAAGCTCATCCAGTTCCAACCCCAACACCTCCCACTAGCCCAGGTTGCTCCAAGCCCCGTCCAACCTGGCCTTGGGCACTTCCAGGGATTCCAGGAGCAGCCACAGCTTCCCTGGGCAACCTGTGCCAGGGCCTCCCTCACTTGCAGGGAAAACATTTTAGGATAGAGGGAATGTATTTAAGGATAGCAAACAATAAGGACAGTTGATAAACAGCCGTTTTGCAAAATAAACACCATGGCCAAGGATTGTTTAGTGCAGATAGAATGGGTGACAGTGCAAGCTCATAGAAATAATAATAAAACCTGCCTAATGGATAGCTTCACCTCCCTGCTTTCCTGTTGCTCCACAGGTACTCTGTGCACGGGCCCAGGCACAAGGAATCAATAATGGAGCTGGTGCAGAAGGAAGCAGAGAGGTGTGACCGCCTGGGAGGATTTGTCACCACCATGAGCATGGCTGGGGGGACGGGCTCAGGCCTGGGAGCCTTTGTGACCCAGTGCTTGAGAGATGCTTTTCCAGCCTCCTTCATCCTAAACCACCTCATCTGGCCCTATGGCACCGGTGAGGTGACTGTCACACTGCTTTTTTATCTGTAATTACTATTTTATCTATACTAATTTTACCTATAATTATAGAGAATTTATAAGTTTATAAACGCTGCTTACTTGGAAACAAAATATCTACAACAGAAATGAGCTGAAAAATAAATACCTTTTACTTTTACAAAGTTCAAAGGACTGAATAACGCAGCTAAAGGATTGTTTGGCTGATGTTTGGTACGTGTAGTTTCACCAAAACAAATTGTGGATAGCTAAAGTGCTGAAGTGATGCAGTTTCACAAGCACTAGAAATCTCCTGCTAGGATCTTATCTCAGCAGTACAATCAGTTCCCAGGTAGATTTTGTTCCAGCATGTTTGTATGGAAGGAGAAGGATAACCTGATTTTCATGGGTCCTGCCCTCTTTCCCTGGAAAAGCTCTGAGCTGCTGACCTCATTCTGCACTTCCAAACCTCAGCTGAGGAAACAGCAGCAGCCAGAGGATTATGAATTAAAAAGGGGTTAAGTTTGACTCTCATTTGTGTGGGGTTTGTTGTTTGTTTGTTTGTTTGTTCCCAGGTCATCGTCCAGAACTACAACAGCGTTCTGACCCTGTCCCATCTGTACCGCTCAGCAGACGCCCTCCTGGTCCACCAGAACGACGTGATCCACAAGATCTGCGCCCAGCTGATGAACATCAGACACATCTCCTTCAGGGACGTGAACCAGGTCATTGCACACCAGCTGGGGAGCGTGTTCCAGCCCGCCCACAGCGCCCAGGGGGGCCCAGGCTACAGCAGGAACCCCCTAGGTACCAGAGCCTGCCACTCACACACCTCTCTCTGGGCAGCTCAGGGGGCACTTCCACTTCTCCAGTCTCCTTACTCGAGTGTTTAGGTACATCCCAAGTTTTCAGGCAGGAAAAGTGAAGGAAAAGACAAATTTAGGAGTTCAGTCCACTGCCAGTGTTGGAGCAGAGTCCAAAAATAAATCCCCCAGCTTCTGCTTTCATTTTTCACCAGAAGAACCCCGTTTCTCCTTTTTCAAGTGGTTCCAGACACTTTGGTACCTATTTACATTGCAGAGGAGACTTGTGCAGGACAGTGCTTATGGGCTGAGTTTCACACTTCACTTTGGGCCAGGAACTTGTGTGAACTGGAACAAACTGAAGGTTTTGTGTTTGGCTCGGGCAGCAAACAGGTGAGCAGGCAACCTGGGAGCAACAGGCTGGCCTTTGTACCCTCAAGGAACTAGAGAAAGTTACCCAATATTGCTTCTAAAATGAAAGCTTTCACACCTGGCTGTCAATCTCTTTAGCACTGCACAGAGCCCTGCAGATTGTGAGCAGTGAGACACTGTAAAATCAGAGCTATTAACATGTGTAGAACTCAGTCTCACACAGCAAGCTTGCATTGCTTTGTCTAAAATTGCTAAATCTTTGCCACATTCCTCCCTCTCTCCTCCTGCTTTAGCCACCCCTGTGCAGGTGTTTTTGGTCAAACATGAGCAGCTGATTTCTTCTTCCAGGAGACTTGATGGAGACCTTGGTCCCACACCCCGAATTCAAGATGTTGGGTCTCCGCAACATCCCTCAGATTGCTGAGAGCTCCCTCCCCTACAGCACCTTCAGCTGGCCTGGGCTCATCAAACATCTGAGGCAGATGCTGATTGCTAATGCCCAGATGGAGGAAGGTACAGAGCATTCCCTGCCCTCCCCTCACTCTTCCAGCAGTTATCTGTACAGGTGGAACAAAGCTGGTGGTTTGGTGCAGCTCCCTTTGGTCACTTCAGAGCCCTCAGCAGGAGTTTGCCTCCTGCTGCTCCTTGAACCATCCCCTCAGCTTGCTCCTGCTTTTGCTTCCAGACATCTCAGTTAATGACAACCACTGAGAACTCACAGACAAAACCAAGTCTGTGGCAGTGCACTTAATTTACATCATTCATTTGGGTAGGGAGCTCTGTGTTTTCTTTGACACCACCTACTCACAAAAATCCTGCTCAGCTCTCTCCTCTATCATTTACATGGGGAATCCAGTTGTAGCTCCCAGGTATGCAGGGAATGGGCTGGCAAGTGCTTCGTATACAAACAGGTATCATTTCCTCTGGTAGACAGAGGTACCAGGAAAACACTGCTGGGTTAGCACTGCTTTTCCCTGGGAATTGTGTCATTGCTGCTTAATTAACGGGCAGCAGCTACAGACTCCAGTATGCTCTCAGTTTGAGGCACAGTGACAGTTCCCACCTGCCTCTTCAGCCTGTCCAAATCCACATTTCACAAACCATTAACTGTCTTTTCTCTCTTTTTTTTTGCCAAAATCTCACAGGTATTGACTGGCAAGTCCGACCACCTCCTGCAGGCTCCTCCAGCCCCTCCAGCCACTCCACAAAGAGGCCACTGCACTTCAACACTTCCATTGCCAACCTGGTTATCCTGAGAGGAAAAGATGTGCACAGTGTGGACTTGGGTGAGGGGGAAAAGCCCCAAACCTCGGGGCTTCTTGTTTAACATCTCTCTGCTTTCTTTCCCAAAAAAACCCCAAGGCCCCTGTTTGGTTCCCTCTAGAAACAGTTTAGTGTCCAAAGCCAGGTTGTCCAACTGCTTTCTTATCTCTGCTCCAGGGAGTTTCCAAGATCCCTCCCTGTACACATCGTGGCTAAACCCTCGGGATGCTTGGAATGCCTGGAGAACACCGAGGGCATTCAACAAGTATGAAAAGTCTGCTTCCCTGGTCAGCAACAGCCAGTTCCTGCTCAGACCTCTGGACAGCCTTGTGGGAAAAGCTTGGAATATGTTTGCTTCCAAGTAAGTGAGGAGAGTCATGCTGAGGCTTCACTAACCACTGCCACTATCTTCAGTGGGAGAGAAATCACTGTAAGGCAGTGAGACCACATATTGCAGTGCTCTCATAGTGCTGCAATCTATTTTCCCAGTCCCCAAAACTCTCCCAGATTTAGTGCATTCCAATTTGGCCGTCCTAAAAATACCACAGAGTGGTTTAGTTTCCAGCCTGTGTGCAGAGATGCTGCCCAGGCCTGCAAAAAACTTCCTGGCTCAGCAGCATGAGGGGATTGCTGTGTTTGTCAAGGCTCCCGTGCCATTCAGCACTTCCACTTCCCACTTAGCCCAGGATTTTCAGCTGCAGTTCTGTTTCCTCAACCAATACACAGATATCAAAACTATTAGAAACAAGTCAGGACTTTCTGATCAGTAGGAATTACAAAGTGAGTTCAAGGGAGCACAGAAAAAAACCCTCCCCAGCACGGTTATTGGGTGCAAAGCAATCTTGCTTTGGATAATATCCAGTAAATATCCAACCTGTGATTCCCAGTGTCTGACCCCTCCTTCCCCACACAGAGCTTACATTCACCAGTACACCAAGTTTGGAATTGAAGAGGAGGATTTCCTGGACAGCTTCACAACCCTGGAACAAGTTATCTCCAGTTACAGCACCCTTTGATTTGATTTCTTTTACACGGTCAGAAATAGAGCTTTGCTGAAAGAACCCAGCACTGGAAAACCTTCCCTCAGCTTCCTGAAGTGTGGAAATCACTGGGCTGGAGCTGCTTTTCAGTCTTGAAAGCAGAGTGTGTGCTGAACCTGAGCTGAACATATTCATATGGGCAGGTGTTTTTACTTAATATATCTAATAAATACCTATTTTTCAATACGTTTGCTATGTCCTGGAGCTGCATCTTTGAACATATTTTTTAGCACTTTAACATAAACTCTGATGGATTTCCATTTAAACATATTTGGGAGGGGGGTGGCTGCTAGATTTCAAATAGAATAGGACATAGCAATGCCAAAATTTAATAACATTTTTAAATCCCAAAAGGCAATTTCAAGAATTTTTGCACAGATTTTGCCACGACCACAAGGTGGTGCCCTGGAAGCTGCAGCAGCCTGGAAGGAGGAAGGGATTGAATCCTTGGGAAGGCACACACTGAATGCTTATAAAATAAAAAGAGTCCAGAGTTAAGGATTATGTTGTAACACCAACTTATCCTCCCATAGAAATAATCCCACAGGCCAAAAAAATAAGAGTTCAAAAACCAAAATCAGTCTCAAGCACTTTCCCCTTGCCAAATTTCACATTTCAAGGTGTCCCTTTAGGCACTTTTTAGTGCCCTTTTTAGGCACCAGAAACCCCTTTTAGGTTTTTAGTGCCATTTCAGGCCAGGCCTTGGGAGCTTTTCAACTAAAAGGTGGCAGCTCAGAGCTGGGCACTGCTCTGGTCCAAAGGGATTTTTTTTTTTTTGGGGGGTGTTTTTATCCCTTCCAACCCAATTGTGTGATTTGGGTGTTTTCACAGAAGAAACTGGAGCAGAGATTGCACGAGCTGAGACAAAACAGCACAGGCACCTGCAGGAACAGAGGGGCAGCAGAGGAGACCCCTCCCTGGTGCTTCCAGCAGATCCCAGACGGATCAGGAACCTCTGGAAAAACAGCCAAGCCCCAGCAATGGCCACTCTCCCTCCTGTCCCACTGAACAGGTAAATGAGGTGTTTAATGCCCTGAGAAACGAGAGGGCAAAGGGTTATTGATTGAGCAGCACAATAACCCCTTTATTGCAGGAATAAGCTCTTATCTCCGTGGATTTATCATGGTGAGCAGGAAGCAAAGGCAGCAGGTGCTCAGTGCACCTCTGGGTGCTCACTTATGGCTCAGGGCATTTCCAGGTAATTTATCAGGTTATTTGAGGTGGTTTTTTTTTGTTTTTGTTTAAGTTTGATGTGGCAGAATTTATGCCACAACAAGAAACACAACACACACAACCAAGCCCAAAGCAAAAATGAAGATTTCCTTGTTTAACACAAGGAAAGAGAGAGGGAGGGAAGGTTCTGCAGCTCCCAGACACAGCCAGGCCAGCAGGGTCATTACTGCTTATCAAGGGTTGCTCTGGAAGGACGTGGTCACAGTCAGGATTCAGGGAGAACACTCCTCATTCCATGTGGAAACAACGTTTTTTTTAAAGCAGCAACAAGGGATCACAACCAGCAGCCAAAGTTTGACAACACAGGTTCCTCAAAACTGTTTTAAATTAAGAAAAGAGTTGAAACCAAAAGTTATATGAACTGTTCTAATCCCCTGCATTGCTCTGCAAGAGGCTGACAGGAGCTGCTTTAGGCATCTCTAGGCTCCTTCCTGTGAGTGTTCCCCACTGCTGACCTCAATCCTGAGATTCTCACAGCCTTTCCCAAGCCCAGCCTTCAGTTTTTGATCTATGACAGGATTCCTCTGTTGTTTTGTTGTTTGGTTTTTTTTTCCCCAGGATGTGGAGAGGGTCAAAGTGGCAGGAAGTGAATAGCTGGTATCAAATATTCATAATTTACACTTACACTGGAAGATGGAGCAGTGCTTCTCTGTTTTATTGATCAGATGAATCCTGGGACAGGGCTTTTATTCCCTCAGCAATTAAAGTTAATGAGGTGGATCAAAGGTCAGCACGAGCCAGTGGCTCAGTGACAGGAACAACAGAATCAGTGGCCTTGACCTTGCTGGTTTTCAGTCCCCCCAGGATGTCCCTCAGGCTGGAACAATGCCCCAAACCTCAGCATTGTTGTTGGCAGGGACAGGTGCAGCTCACTGGGAAGTTGATTCAAGGACTCCCAACTGCAGAAGGCATTTCATCAACAGGAGAACCTTTTATTTGGCCACAAAAAAAAAACCCAAAATAAAAAAACAACCAAGCAAATCAAACTCACCAAAAAAAATTCCAACCCAGAAACGAAACCCTGCAATGACCTAAAATACTTTAAACACAAATAGTGGCAAGTGACAGTAGTTAATGTATTTATAGGCACGATTTCTTTGGATATAAGCAGAATTGGTGCTTTTAAGGTCAGACTCACTGCCAGTACAGGAAGGAAAGAACTGGGGGGAAATATGTAAGGGAAAAAAAAAAAAAATCTGTGGTTTCCACAGCAACCAGGAATTTATCAATATGAAAGCAGGAAGTTATATTCAAATTAGCAGCTGAGACACTACTGAGGAAAATTAAGGTACAAAAGGATGAATAATTCACTTCCTCCTGCATTTGCTAAGAAATTTAGTCTGGATAAATACTATGAAGTGAGAGACTAAACATCCAAAAGGAAGCAGTGTCAGATGAAGAAGGGTGAGTTTTGCTGGACACACTTCAGGAGCTGCCCAGGAGTCATCAGGGAAGTGATTCATGGCTCCAATTTAGCACAAAAAGCTTCCAAAAGGAACTGAGCTGCTGCCTTTCCTCCCCTGCTTCCAAGGGCAGCCCAGACACAGCTTCAAACACCCCAGCAGCGAATTCCAGCTTCCTGCTCCTACCTCTGCTTCCTCCCCAGCTCTGCCCACGCTCCACTTGCACCATAAAATAGAAACCCACCAAAACCAGGGGGCCAAAATCCCTGTTTTAAATGTAAGAGTAGCAGGACTGTTAAAGGCAGGAATTGCAACCAGCAGATTAATATCCAATTGGATGTTTCTCCCAAGAGGAAAGCTTCCAGTCCCCTCCCTGCCAGCCCCTCACTCAGGGTTTCACCTTATTTTCCTCTACAAAGATCTACTCAGGCTTCTCCCCAGAGCCAGAGTATTCTGATATAAAAGCAGATCCAAACCTGGGGGGTGCTGGCAAAGGAGAGCTCGTCCTTGGGGTCCTCCAGCTGAACAAAACTTCACTCAGCAGGCCTGGACTTGTCCAAAAATCCCTGGACCAAGGGCAGAGAGAGCTCCAGGAAGGACCAGGGGAGGAGACATCAGGGACAGTTTTAGCCAAGGGCTCTCAGGCCCTTCCAAACAACGCTTAACCCCTTCCTTGTTCTCGGGATTGGGAGGATCTGTCACAGCTGGGATCTCTTGCCAAAGGACAGGGGTTATTTCACCCCTGTCAGCAGCACCTGCCTCCTCCTGGGCAGCCCTAGGGGTTCAGTTCCTGCCCAGTGGGTTTGCCACGTGGTGATTAAAACAGGGCACGAGTGATTAAAACAGGGCTGGGGAGAAATGAAGGGAGGCATCAGCACTAAACCCAGCAGAGATCCTGCCTGGAGCGTTTCTTTGGCATCCACCAGCCTGAGCCCCACTGAACACCATCCCAAAAGTGCCTCCCTGGCTGCTCCCCACCCAGGCCCTGGCACAGCACCCAGGGGTGCTCGAGACTGGGTGTCCCAGGAGCTCAGCCAGGCTGAGGGCAGACCCACAAGTGCAGGGATCTGAGAGATGGAATCTGCTGTTGTGAAAATATCCCAAATATTCCAGCTCCCCAGCAAACAGCTGCAGCAGGAGGCACGGAGGGCAGCCCAGGGAGGTTGTGTGGAAATGGCAGCGTTTGCACAATGCTGTAAATCTAAATGTGTGTTTTCTCTCCAGTTTCTTTTGGGGACAGGAAAATGCTGAGCACACAAACCTGCTTTTTCAGTCACCAGATGGAAAGGGCAGTGTCAGGAAAGCCACAGTCCCTCAAAATTCCATTTCTGCACCGAAGTGTGAGCCTTGAACAAGGTATTTGTGTGTTTGAACCAGCAGCAGCTTCTGCAAGAGAAGTGCCAGGTTATTTCCTGAGAGTGGAAGGAGAACAGAGGCACCACGAGGTCACCTCACGTGGGCAGGACAAGCTTTGGGAAGTGCGTGGCATCTCCAGGGAATTCCTTACAGGTGGGGCCAGGCAGAGCTGACACCTTCCCATGGAAAGGCTTTGGAGCTGGGAAATGCCCCAGATCAGCCAGTCCCTGAGTGAGGGAGGAGGTGACACCCTCCTGACCCGGTGGATTGTGCTGTAAATCCCGAGGGTGGAGCACAGGGAGCCCTGCCCTGGCCGGGCCCTCCCCAGAGTGCCCGTGGAACAATGCCCCGAGTGGCAGCTCCCATCTCCAGCAGGAAACAGCACCAGCTTCCTTAGGGCCAGGGCCAGGGCAGCTCAGCCAGGCTCCCTGGAAAACCACGGGGCCAGGGAATGGGGAGGAACTCCCCTGAGCCACGGGGGATCTGCACACACCCTCAGTGAGCTCCAGAAAAGGTGCCCTGTGATTTGGTGCTCGTGGAGCCAGTGCTCTTTGAAGCACTCCATGGATGATAATAATAATAATAATAATAATAATAATAATAATAATAATAATAACAACCCCCCCTCAGCACATGCTAAAGCAGACTAACCCCGAGCTTGGCCCTTCCACTTTGCACCTTTGTTTTACACCAGCAGCAGTGAATGAGCTGAACCACCTCAACATCCCCTTCCCTTGAAATCCAGCACAGGGCAACAGTGAGATTTTTTTTTTAACCAAAATACCGTTTTTCTCTGAATTCCTGACACACTGCTGGGCTCTTGCTGTTTGCCTGTACCTGGGAGGTGACATAACACCAGAAAGTTTCTGCCTTTGAGCTCCTTCCTCTGCTGCCAAGTGCCCCGGGCTGTTCAGCCTCTCCCTCCACAGCCCTGCCAGGGCATTGTTTGGCTGCCCCTCCTGAGAGCAGTGGATGCATCAGTAAGCAGGTGAAATGGGGATAGAAAGAAATGCCAGCCTTTTGTGCCCTCAGTTAGACACCTGAATTAGGGAAATCACAGCAGGCTCAAAGGGTTTCTCGCTGTAATCCCTCTAAAAATGAGTTTGCTGGAGCACAGGCAAATATTTACCCTCGGTCTCTGAGGGCATCATTGGGTGTTCCATGGGAAGGAATTGCTTCACTCCCTGTTTCCTGAGGTTACAGGAACCCAGGAGGCTCCAGCACTGATCCCTCACCTGCCCAGCTCCCCCCAGGGCCCACAGCCCAGCAGGATTCCCTCCCTCCCACCCAGTTTTTAAACCGAATTTTAAAGCTCAGAAGAGCCATTTCAGTTGCCTTACCTGTAATTAATCCAGCCTTTTTAACTGCTGATTACAAAGTATGTTTTAACCCCGTGCTTCAAAGAACACCCCCAGCCCCCACTTCTCTTTCCACCTGCCATCAGTTTGGCTCACTAATATTTATATTTGTGCTCGATAATCAGGGACACATCCCCGGTGTTTGTGCCTGCAGTGACACCGGGATGAATCAAGCCCTGAAAGCCAAGGGCACAGCAGGGGAGGATGTGGAGCAGCACTGAACCCCTGTCAGCTGTGAATGACAAGTGTCTTTTAGCACAACAGGCAGCTGGGGGGGTCCAGAGGGAGCTGCTTGAGCAGGAACACAGCGGGACACTGGGATGGAGGGAAGGAGCTGCAGAGCCAGGGAAAGCACGAGCTTTCCTGACTGTTTTCCAGCCTGGATCTGGAGGGTTTGACCTGCCACGGGCTCTTGGCTCGGCTGGCACAGCCACCCTGACCTGAGCTGTGCTGCCACCAACAACCCCCACTGTGGGGCAGGGCAGCTCTGCCACCTCCCACCATCCCAGGGAACAGCCAGGGCAGGAACAACCCCCGGGGCAGGCAGGGAAAACAAGGAAAATGAAGGGGAGGAGGAGTTCCAGCCCTACCTGCCCTCAGCTCTGATGTGCTGCTTCCAATTCTCCTCTCACGAAGAGATTCAGCCTCGTCCCACAGAGGATGAGACAAAAAAAAAAAAAGTCTCTATCACAGCCAAGTCATCTTTGAGGTTTAACTGCCCCTCAGTTGCCGTTACCTCCGTGTGATTTTCAGTAACTCCCAGGAAATAAAAGCAAGATGCTTTTTAGTCAGGGTCTGAACTGAGAGACAGCAGCTAAAAATAGTGAGCTGTGCCCAGACTGTCCCTCCTGCAAGAGCTCTCCTTGGCTTTGTCCCTCACGCACCAGGAGGTGACTGCTCCCAGTGCCTGACTGAGGACAGGGGCAGTAACGGGAGCTGTGGATTCAGGGAGCAAAATCCACAATTTCAGGGGAAATGTTGAAGGCTCCAGGTCCCTGAAGCCACAAAATGCAGATGGATCTTCTCCATTCCAACGTCACAAGCGCTACCAACCCACTTTAACGCACAGAGTGGAAACAATCCAGCTGAAATCAACACCGGGAAACGTCATTTCTTTGTTTATTTAAGCAAACAGAAAACTATCCATTGAAAATCTCAGTAGGGTTACTTTCATTTCTATGATTTTTTTTTTTTTTAAACCTTTTACCAAGTATCATCATCTCCCAGGTAGGAGCAGGTAGAACCAGCAGTTCCTTCTTGAAATGGGGTTAGAAAGCTTCAAGATACCAGCAGAGCTTATTGGAATGGACACATGGAACACAAGCTGAGGAACAACAGACACAGAGATATTTCACACCACGTGGATGTAAACAGACTGCACTAAAAGTGGGAGAAAGCTCCCTTTTCCCAGGGGTTTTCCAGCAGGCAAGAGGCAGAATTTTAAGGAGACCTCTAAAGGAGCATTTTTTTTTGGCTCAGGCTCTGGCAGGAGGGTTTTTTTCTCTGTTAGTTGACACCACCAGAACTGAGAGAGGTGAATAAATAAATACCCGTGTCCCTCAGGGGAATCTGAGGACAAAAAAGCTGCCACCAGGACTTGGGGGGAGCAGCCAGGGCTGTCACTGCTCCAGTGTCCTGGGGGAACAGAACACAGCTCTGGGCTGAGATCTCCTCCAAGTGCAACCCTGAAGCTTCCACAGATTGACAAAAGTGAGGTGCCAAGCACAGCTGTGATTTTTGGAACTTGCATTATGTTAGAAGACCTTTGTGATTTATTTTCAAAGGCCTTATTAAGGCCAAAAAGTGAAAAAAGAAAAAAAAAAAGTGGAAAATTTAAGCAAAGGTGTTCCCCTTTAAAAATCAGCGGGGACACGAATGGTCTTGGTGCCTTTGACCACCTCACCCCAGAGCTTTAGGTCTTTAAATTCCCTCTGCTCAGAGCTGTGCCAGAGCAGCCCATCTGCACAGCCTGCCCACCCCCCAGGGCAGGGCTGGCTGCAGACACAACTTCAGCCACTCCAAACCTCCCACACAGCAGGGGGGACACACTGGAGGATGTGGGGATGCAGAACCGGTGGCTCCTCGGAGCGAAAGCAAACACAGGGCCGTGCTGATGCTCAATGGGACAGCTGCAGATGGATGAGGGGACGCTCAGATGAGAGATACCAAAATGTCAGACAGCCTACCGACTGTTGTTGCCATGAGATCCAACAGTCAACATCAGTCTGATAAGCTATCCGACAGGATGGTGGGGATGGACACGCTGGAGCACCACGGCAGCCCCCAAAAACACAGCCCAGCTCACCCCAAAGCTGCCCCAGCAGGCAGGGGCTGACCTGCTCTGGGTACCTCCTGCAACACTCACTGAGAGCAAACTCGGCTTTACTTACCCCCAGGACAGGAACCAAACCAACAGCTGACAAACATTTACAGGTGGAAGTGCCCAGGAGGGAAAGGAGCCATTTCAATGTTAGTCCATTAGAGCTGACACACACACTGGTTCAGAACAAGGTTTAGAAGATATCTGACTTAAAGAGCAGAAGGTTAAGGTTCTCTAAAGTTCTGTTCTGGACATCAAATCTATTTTCAGATGGAATATTAAATCTTCCCCCTCTCCTCTTCCCCACTGCCCACAGTTCTGGGCTCAGGGGCCAACACCTGAGCAGAATAAATACTGTTCAACCTGCCTGTTTGAACTGTGCTTCGAGCTAGGGATGTCCTTCCTGCTGCCTTTGCTGAGTAAGAAGCTCTTAAGAAAAAAAGAAAAATAAAAAAAGAACAACAAGGGAAAAAAAAGCCCAAAGGTGTCAGCACCATCAGTGCAGGAAGGGTGAGTGAACGTGCAGCAGCTCGGGGGGTTGAGGCTTCAGAAAGGAAACTGAGCATCCAAAAGAGGAGAGGGAAAGAAACAGCTCAAAAAGACTGACACAAGAAAATCTGGAATGATCAAAGATGACTTTATATAAAGTTTGATCTTAACTTCATTCTAAATATACAGAATAAAAAATGTCGGCGTGGGCGTTCGACAGCAATCACCTCTGATAACATCACTGGGACAGGGGGGCTTTTCCAACGTGCACTGGATGGGACACTGGGAATTCAGCCGGCACAGCCTTAACCAGCAGGGACATGCAACAGTTTGTATCCAGTCTGTATTTACACTGGGATGGGCTGGAAAGTCATGGGAAAAGCAAAACAGCCACCCTTCGAAAGGAGGAGTCACCCTCAGGTCGGTGTGAGTTAACCCAGGAGATGGAGAGCATTAAATCACCCATTTTGGAAGTAATTTGGACGGACAACATTTGTGTTAAACCCCACTGAACACCCCCTTGTCCATCCTGGACAACACCCCCCAGACTCGTGAAGCATTTACACCTTACCTTAACATTTACAAGCTCGTCAATGGAACCTTTGCTCTAATATCCAAATTACTTTCAAAAAAAAAAAAAAAAAGAAAAAATCAAATAAAAACTTTGTTCTAGTTGAAAACTGATGTGAAAAAGTTTTCCCCCGTTTTGAGTAATGCTGATTTTGAACCATATGAAAAGCTGTGTCATTTCTGGGTCTGCCAGGACCCTCGGAGGGGTTTTGTTCGGCTCATTTGGTTTTCTCCTCCGAGTACATCTTCTGCTGCAGCCTCTTGGCGTAGCTCTGGGCCATGGAGTTGATAATAGACAAGATAAAATAACAAACCATGACAATCACCAGTTTCTCAAACATCCAGGACAGCCAGTTTTCCCCCTGGAGAGAGACAAAACAGGAGGAGGAGGAAGATGCAGATTAGCAGAGTCTCCACTCTGGGGAGGAGAGGGGAAAGCTGGACCGTTCATTTTGTCATTAATCGAACCCAAATCAGGACCCAGAGCAGGCTGAGGGTTCCTGCAGCAAATCTGCAATCTGCTGCCTGCAAGGACAATGCAGAGGCTCTGCCAGCTGCACTGCCGGGCACATGCCCAGGCCCTGCTCCTTCCCGCGGTGATTTATTATTATCCCCCAGTGATTTATTATTCCCAGGATTGTTTGGGCTTCGCTAACGATTCTCAGAGTTGGGAATCAGCAGCCCCTGTCACGTTCCTCGCCCAGAAAACCACCAGCTCATTGATTACCAGTGCGGGGTTTCCCCCCTAAACTGCACGTTCCGTGTTATCCTCCCTTCAGGATCCCCCTGGAAGTGCCGGTGCCACTCGCAGCGTTTTTCCAGGGCAGCTGCTCCCTGGTGCTGCTGTCAAAGGAGGGCAGCAGCGCCCTGCAGGAGAGGAGCCCTCCCTGCCCTCCAGCCCGGGCCCCCCGGGGCAGTTCTGGGGTGAGAAATGGCCAGAGGGGCATTTACAGCAGCCACGAACACTGCCCGGGAATCCCGAGCCACGGATTCGATCCCAAATGCCTCGGCATCCTCAGGAATTCCACGTCCAATCGCTCTGCTCGGTCGCAAATTCAGGGTAAGTTTTTTTAAAATAAATTTTTTAAATGTTTGTTTGTTTGTTTGAAAGGAAATTTCTGCCTCTTGTACCTGCTCTAAACACCTTACTTTCCCTTCCAAACACTGAAGGCTCGGGGATTTTATCCCTCTTACCACGAAGCCTCAGAGCCCCCTGGCTCCTGAAGCATCGGTGCTGCACACACTTTGTCACCCTTTCACATGGAAATCCCAACTTTTGCCTCCTTAAATCCAACCTTCCAAGCAGGCAGCTAATGCACAGAGGCAAAACGTGCCACTGCTCTTGCTTTTTTTTTTTCCCTAATTCTCTAAAGGATTTAAATCCAATTTTGCACAATTTGAAGTTTCAAAGGGGGTAAGTTTTTTAAAACCCAGTTTCACGCAATTACCCAGGAATTTTTACCATCCGGTTTCGTACAATTACAGGGGAATTTTGAATTCCCAGGTCGGTTTTGGAGTGAGATTTTTTATCTCTTGCCCGGGTCAGGGCAGATCTGGGTCAGACAGGCAAGGGAAGAGCCCGAGAAGGGCAGGAGGGTCTTACCTGTGGAACTGCCCCGTCCGACTTGTGGTGAAGTTTTATCCTCTGAGCTTCCAGATATTCTTGAAATGGCTTCTGAAGAGAAGGACCTATACTTGGAATAGCACTGATGGACAGTTCATCCCAGACAGCGAGACAAAATAGGGGGGAAAAAAACAAAAACAAAACAAAACAAAAACCACATTGGCTTTTTTTTTTTTTTTAAACTTACCACTTTACCTAATCAGAGCAAAGCTCAGGCTGAGCCACAGCTCAGGAGGGAACTCGAAGCTACTCGAGCAAACAGAAAGCCACGAAATAAAGCAAAATTCATCTTTTGATCGGCAAAAAGTGCTCAAAAAAAAAAAAAAAAAAAAAAAAAGGACAAATCTGTGCGGGCAGCAGAGCCCGGGGCAGGGAGGCAGAGCTGGGAGCTGCAGCAGGTCCTGGAGGCAGCACAAGGAGCTGAGCACCGGGGGCAGCGCTGCGAGGCAAATGAATGACTTCGGAGAAGTCCCACATTTATCACCAGCAGTTCCTGTAAGAACTGGTTTGAACCGATTAATAAGGAAATGACTTGTGCTTGTGTCATCCCCCGGTTAAAAAAGAAACTGCTCGCCCTATGACTTGCCCCTTCTCCCGCGAGGAGACGGCCCCTTTCTCCAACCAAGTCCTTATTAGGACAATCTGTGCGTCATCCCTTCCCAAAAGGAACGCGTGAGCAAATCCTGCGGCGCCTCCCCCGGGCAGGGATTAACAAAGGAACAAAGAGGAGCTCGGCCCCTGCCCGGGCTGTGCCAGCGCGGGGGGCACGGGGCGGGCTGGGGGGGACCCTGCCAGCACCTCGGCCCTGCTGCCACCCTCACCTTTGGGGGCCGGGAGCCTCTCCCAGCTCAGAGGGTGAAGGTGGGACCGCCGGGGCAGCCTCTGAGCTCCCCAAATCCCCCTGTCCAGGCTCCCACCGAACCCAGCCAGGCAGCTGTTCCTGAAATCCACCCCCCCGTGATTGAACACGAGATCCAAACCCTTCAATAATGGGCACAACCCCTTAAAGCAAAGCCCAAAACTCAACTACTCAACCCCAGAAGTTGGGCAGCCTCCTCTCAAACTCCCCTGTCCAGGCTCCCACCAAACCCACCCAGGCAGCTGTTCCTGAAATCCACCCACCCCGTGATTTTTGGATCTCCAAAACCCTTCAATAATGGGCACAACTCTTCAACCTCACCCCAAAAACCTCAAAATATTAAACCCCACAAGTCAAATATTACCCAGAATAAACTGTCCCCAGCACCAGCACGGCCTGTGTGAACACACAACACACAACCCAAAGGCTCCCAAGGCTGGATCCTCAAACATCCACCACAACTCCCGGTCCTGACAAACACCACTTGAATTTCAGAGAGAATGGAGAGGTTTTATATTTAAAGAGATCAATATGATCTCCCACACTGAAAACCCCCCTAAATTTTCAATGCTTCACTTCTGATTCTTTACACCACGGGGAGGGTTTAGCAAAACAACTTCACACACCAAGACACATCCAACAACCAGTTCCACAAGTGACCATTTATCTCCCTGCGTCTCTCCAATTATTTTCCTCCTCATTTGACACCATATTCCCTTTTCCAGGAAAGAAAGAAAAAAAAAAAAGAACAAAAAAAAGAGAAGACTTTCTAATTTTAGGACTTTCAGAGTGCCAAACACAGTGCCTCATTCTGCTCCTCTCAATGGGTTTCCTTCATGGCCGGGGGGGCAAACGCCTGTTGGGAGCGCATTTACCAGAAAGGATTGACCATTTCCCTCATGATTCACCCCGGGAGGGGAATGGGGGGGGGGGAGGAAATTCTGGGCCCGGGCTGGGGAAATTTTAGGGGAAAAATCAAGCCCCGAGAGCCCAGTGTTTTACAGGAACCCAAAGGATCCGCAGGACTCGGCCCCGGCCCCTTCCCGGGAAAAGCCGTGCCTGGAACTCCGGAGCCTTCCCTGCCTCCCTCAGAGCAGCCACTGCAAGGTAAGAGTTTAATTTTAACCTCCGTGCTGGTGAAAGGAGGGACATTGCAACGGGGAGGGTGAATGATTAACAGGAGAGTGTTCAAATGACTCCCAAAGCCAACGAGTCAGTCCCAACCCGGCACCGAACACGGAACAAAGCCACGAACCCCGAGCTCGGAGAGGCTGCGACATCCAACTTCAACATTTTTCCTCACTAAAAAAAATTCACCTTTCTTCCCCCCTTTTCTGGTGACTACAACTTAAATTATTTAAATTAACTTTAATTAATTAAACTTCATTACAGCTATTTTTAAAGATCTGAATGTGAGGATCTCTGATCCTGAAATCCTGCAGTTTTTGGAGAGATTTTAATACTGGGGGGAAAAAAAAAGGGCATAATTTTTTAAATAAGGAGCAAAAATGAAGCTGAGGAACATCTAGAAAGTCATGAATCTGCAGTGCTGGGAATGAAATCCTTGAAATCCCATTTCAGCAGGACAGTGTTGGTCACTTGGGCTCCTCTGGCAAAATTAAACCATTTAACCCCCAGATATGTCACCTGACATCAAATTGCAGACATAACTTAGATCTCAAAGTCTTAGAGCTCAGTTTTAGTTAATTTAATTAAATAAAAGTTTATTTAATAAATAAATATATTTATTTATAAAATTAATAATGTTAAAATTAATAATAAAATTTAAAATTTAAACATTATTAATAAAATTTAATAAATACAATTTTATTTAATTTAATTACAAACTGAGAAGAAGTTTTAGGAACTCTTAACATTCTGTTTTTGGTTTCATTCCTTCTGATTCTCTGCTAAAACTGAACATTTCACAAGGAGCTACAGCAGAAAACAAACCTCCAAAAAAATGCCCCAGCCTTTGGTGCAGCCAAAATTCATGAAAATCACGACCTGAATTCCAACACTAAAATCTAAACATCACTGAGAATTCTGCCTCACTGAGATACCCCCTTGGAGCCAGGACTGGTACCTGTGCTTTGTGATTAAACAGATGCAGATTGACTGTCTTTAACTCAAAGCTACCATTTCTATCCAAATTAAAAAATTAAAAATAAAAAATCCTAAAGCTGTTTTTTTTCCAATAATTAACCCCAAACTTCCCATCTGTTCAAAGCTCCACATTACAGAGATCCAGCCAAGCTGCTTCAGGATTAGTTTTAAAATTACACCAAAGACCTGCAGGTTCTGACTCCTAAAATTTCCTTTCCACTTCCACCAAAACCCTGTTTAAAATACACTGGACAATTTATAAATCTGCTTTTCCAGGAGTGACTGCCACTGTAAGTGGGAGGAAAGGGTTTTTGGGGGAATTTAAATCCTTTTAAGAGAACCTTTGGAACCCCAGGGAGGAGTTTTCTCCAAGGCACCAAACCCAGAGGAGAAAAATTGTGTTTTCCCTGTGCTTAAGAAATAGTAGGGATTTATTTGGTATTCCAGTCAATGCATTTTTACTAATACTAAAAATACTTATTTTTAATACCACTTAATCATGATTTCTGCACTTCTGAAAGGCATCATTTTCACCTGACAGGATCTTCAGGAGCAGAGGCTGCTCTCGAGTTCCTGAAATCTCTCACCCTGTGCTTGGAGAGAAATACCAGAATTCACGAGTGTTTTAGGAAAAAAATAAAGCTGGCACTGTGAAGTTCCCATTTTGGGGGCATTATCGGGCATATCGGGGTTTTAATGTTAATTAGAGCTGCTCAGTGACGAGAGGCTCGAACGGCGAGTGCTGATGAAGCAGCCGATTAACCGCGAGCCGAACTCCGGTTACTCCGGGGAAAATGGGAAATGTAAATGGGGCTTTCAGCGATCCCGAGCCCGGGAACAACGGGAATCCACAGCCCCAGGCACGGAACGCGGGGGTTTGGAGCCAGGGAAGCCCTGCCTGAGTATCCAAGTTTCTTTTCTCCTGGCAGTAACAGCCGGGAGGGTTTGGGACACAGAGCCTGCAGCAAACAGGGGTCATCCCTGCTCCAACAAGGACCTGCAGCAAACAGGGGTCATCCCTGCTCCAACAAGGATGTGCCAGAGGCAGGAGGGACATTCTGGGCTGGGCTTTTCCCTCCCTGCACCTCCAAGCTTTAAAATAATTGCTTTAAATCACACACTATTGACAGCCAGCCCAGAGGGGCAAAGGCTCTCACCTCCCAACAGTTACATCCAACGTCATTAAACCAGCCTGTTATTAACTCCCATTTCTCAGAAAAACCCATCCTGCAGCTCCAGGTACTAATTTTTTTTGGTGCTAATTTAGGGGGAAAGAACTTGGCTTGTTGAGAGTGAAACCCTTCGAGCCTTCTGCAAATAAATTTCTGTGATTCTGTGGGATCCACTGGCAGGTTCTCAGCCCCAAAGCTGCTCACCTTGCAGGTTATTTTAGAGTTCTGCTGCACAGGTTTTAATTACAGGACTGATTGGAAACTGTCTCTCAAAATGCCCCTTAAAGCAGCTCAGCAGGGTCTGGGCTGTGGCAGAACAAAGGTCCAGCTCTCAGAAGGTGGGGTTGGCTCCCAAAAACCAGGGAATCAAACCCAGGGCTCTTCCCACCCCAGGACAAGATTCCTGGTGCAGAACTTGTGCTCTGAAGAAATAACCTAAACCCAGACTGTAAATGCTTTTTGACCAAAAAAACCCTGCCAATCCTTAAAACCAAACTTCCCAGTTCCTTCAGGGCCTGTGATGTGCTGTTTTGGGGGAAGGAACATCAGGCTCCTTCAGCAGCACTGAGGGGGATTGAGCTGCAGACCAAGATTTATGGCCCAATAAACAGCAGGAAACTGGTCTGTCCAGGCAGCAGCTCCAGTGCCCAAAAACCTGCTGTTCTCCCAGAGGGGCATCGTTCCCAGGGGGCTGCAGGGCTGGGAAATGTGTTCCACAAACCCCACCGGCACAGGGACCCCTCACGGGTGGTTCTTGCCAAGTTTCACTTTGCAGGGTCTCACTCCTGGGTCAAAAATCCACGCAAGTGGCAAAGTTTTTAGATGCATTCACTGCACCTAAACTTCAATTTACTCTGTTGACTAATTATTCCATCCCTAGAGGTGTCCAAGGGCAGGATGGACAGGGCTTGGAGCAAGCTGGGATAGTGGGAGGTGTCCCTGTCGGTGGAAAGGTTGGAACAAGATGATTTTTAAGGTCCCTTCCAGCCCAAACCATCCTGGGATTCTGATTTACCACAGGGAAAAGGGGGGATTTCCTCCCACAGGGATGTGGCCACTGATTTCAGGTGCTTTGGAGGTGAAGGCCACGTGCAATAAAGCAGGATTTTTTTAGTGAATTGTGAATTTTTAAGAAGGTTTTAGGTTGCCTGTTGGGAGTTGTGAAGCTCACAAAACACAAGCTGGGCAGGCTGAATTGAACCAAAACTGGGTTCTTTCTGAACATTTCACCAGAAGGGATGGCAAGAGCTTTGTGGATTTCTTCAGCAGTTTTCTGGGAATTCTTAATCCCCATTTAAAACTGCCACTTCCAGGAAAACATCATCCTCGTGCCTCAAAGCCCTTCGCTCAGTGTGACTTCACAGCCAGCCCTGCAGCTCTAGGTGAAAAAAAAACCCACTAAAAGCAAAGATTCAGGAGGCAAAATAAACCCCACAATAATTCAATATTTGCAAGGGGCCAGAAGCAGCTACAAGAGCCCTACAAGGGGTGTCAGAGCAGGCAGTTCAGCTGCTCCTCAAGGGGCAGGACACAAAGCTCAGGAGATGAGGGACAGAGCAGGGACAGAGCAGGGACAGGACACGATCCCAGCAGGGGCAGGACTGGTAGAACAGGTTGGGAATTCCCAGCCCAGGGAGTTCCCAGCACCTCTCAACCCTGCCCAGCTCCGGTTTCAGCCTCTCCCCAGCTCCCAAACCCACCCGGGGCTCCTCGTTCCTCCCAGCCACCTTTGTGGCCACCTCCCACCTTGGGAGTGTTTTTTGTGCTCCAGAGACCACCAAAAATCCTTGGAAATTCCCAATTCTCCATGAGCAGCTTCTGCATTTCCTGCCACGTTGGCCTTTCTTTGTTTGGTTACAACAGGGAGTGTTTTATGAGCTGTTTGCAGACAAAACTGTGCAGTCACATCACCCTCAGTGACACGAAACCAGTGACACCACTAACAGCTCCTGAGCTGCACGGGAATAATTCCTGCTTTTGGACCCAAAAAAATCACAGAATTCGCAAGAAATTCTCCCTGCCTTAAAAAATCAAATCTCCCCAGACTTTATCTCACAACTTAACCTTCTGTCTAGGTTTTTCTCTCCTGGATATTCATAGATTTGAACATTTTTTCAGGTGCTGTGCTCAGGTATTTCCCACTGGGCAAGAGCGCCGTCCCAGACAAAGGAAGATTAAAATGAAGTTACTGCCCACCAAATGGGACTGCATTTTAATTTAATAACAGGGCTTTTGATGCAAGGTATTGTTTAACATGTTTGCTGCTCCCTCTAACACAGATTGATGAGGTAATGCCAGCAGACAGCTTGGGAAAAAGTCAGGGATAGCGGGACATTCCAAAAATCTCACTGTCTCCCAGGAACATTTCTGAACTCTGACATCAACCCTCCAGTAAACCCCAACTCCAGCAGAGCTCCCGTGACTGCACTCGGGGTAATTCAATGCAAAGTTATCTCCAAGACAGATGAAGTAGGAAAAAAAAACCCGAGCAGTTTTTGGCTCCAGGATCCTCAGGAGAGGAAATCCTTGGAAATACCTGAGCTGGTGTGAGGGATACTGAGAGAAACTCCTGATGGTTCAGAGTTGCCACGTTTCTCTTTCTCCTTCTCTCTCTTTTGTTTTAAATAACGTTCAGAGCCACAAATTAATGTTGAAGTTTGGTACAAAACAGATCAGAAGACCAGGAATAAATAAAGCCAGGATTAATGAAATGCCCTACAAGTTTCTTCTGACACTCCTTCTCCTTTGTCCAGTTTGGGGCTTTAAAAGGAATTATTTCCAGGCATTCCTGCTCTGAAACCATTCTGGAGGAGTGAGGATTTGGGGGTTTTATGTGAAATGGTTATTGCAGTTTGGGCAGCAAAGTGTCAACCTGTCCCACTGAACAAACCTTGGGAAAGCAGAAACACCTTGGGATTTAATTTTCTAATTGATTCATATGAGATTGGATTAATTCTAGTTTATAAAAAAAACCCACAAAGCACAATAAAACCCTCCCAAACTTTTCTCAAAATCACAACAGTTTATCCATGAAATCTGCCTTTTCTCCCAAATTTACCAGAATGGAGATGAAACTCTACACACCCAATTTCTCACTCTGAGGTTTTATGAGAGATTTAATACTGTAAATGTCTAATGTGTAACCGTCTGGAGGATGCTTGCTCTTATCTTGCAACACTGCATAAACCCCCAAGGTTTTAATACAGAACCACAGAGTTTTGTGATTTTCTCCATAAATATAATATATGAAAGACATATCTATAATATATTGTAATATATAAAACAATGTATTTGTGTAAGTTGTAAATTTAATTATAGATAATACAATTTTCTATGAGTGTTCTCACTTTTGGCCACAGGATCTCGCTGCAACTCTGAAACAAATCCCTGAACAGCAGCCCCCCTGCAGCTATAAAAGTGCAGGAATGGCTCCCTGAGGAGTTTTGGGGGAAGGTTCCTGCTGTTCCTGCTGTTCCTGCTGCTCCTGCAGCTCCTGCCCTGGGAGGACTCGGAGGGGAGGCCTAAAATCCGTGGTGGCCAAAGCCTGGCTTGGGAACAAAGCCCACCCTCCATCCCTGCTGCTCTGAGCCCTGCAGTGCTTTCCACTAACGAGGGCAGGTGTTAATTACTCACCCAATGAGGGCCACCATCTGCTCCACGATGTGTTTGCTGAAGGTGATGATCACGAAGAGTTTCTGTGGGAAGGAAGGGCCCGGTTGGAGAAGGAGCAGGACCAGAAGGGAGGCACGGCCGGTGCCTCCTGCTCCTTCCCCCGCCCCACGGCTCTCCCTCCTCTCCTCCTCTCTCACAACCTTCCCTTTGCAGGATTCCCCTCCAAAAGCTGGTCCCTTTCTCCCCCTGTTTGCTCCTGGATTTCGTTCCCTGCAATGTTTTTGTAGCCTGTTCCTGACCATCCCTGACCTGTCCTCCCCAGACCCCTTCCCAGAAGCTCAGGGTCACTTTGCTCCATCAACAGAGTTTTCATGGAAAAGCAGCCACGGCTGGGCAGCGAAATTCCCATCCCCTTACACAAACACAGGGACTTGAGGATCACAGGAGTGAAAAAGAACACATTTCAGTGCCCAAGTTCCCGAGGCTCAGACAGAACACGGCAAAAAACACCCAGTGAGGAACAAAGAGCCTTTGGGCACCTGTGGGATCACCCAGTGAGGAACAAAGAGCCTTTGGGCACCTGTGGGATCACCCAGTGAGGAACAAAGAGCCTTTGGGCACCTGTGGGATCACCCAGTGAGGAACAAAGAGCCTTTGGGCACCTGTGGGATCACCCAGTGAGGAACAAAGAGCCTTTGGGCACCTGTGGGATCACCCAGTGAGGAACAAAGAGCCTTTGGGCACCTGTGGGATTGTCACTGGGATGCAAGGGCCTGCTGGGAACAGGAATTGCAGTTAGAAGCTCCTGTGACACAGCTTGTTTTGCAGGGGATCCCAGTGGCTGTGATTTCAGCACTCCCCTCTCCTCTGAAAGCAGCTGAAATGTGGATGGAGCAGCCTTTGTGTCCTGTGTGACATCAGGGGGAGCAGGCTGGGAGGGGATGAGGGTACACAGAGTTCCCACAGCCTCCTCAGGCCAACTCAAGGCTGATCTAAGCAGAGCTGCCCTCCCCAGGCTGGAAACAGGGGATGTGACTCCAACCAGAGGATCCTGTGGCCCCGAGGAAGAGCCCAGTTCAAAGCAGCTCCGGGATGGCCACTGCTCCAGTCACTGCTCCCTGTCTGGAGAACACTTCATGAGAGGCCTTTTCCATGACTCTCACATTTCCTAAATTCCAAGTTCAGCCAGATCACTCCAAAACTCGGGGCCATTGCACAACAGTGTGCTTGAAAAAAAGGGAATTCTAATAGCTGGGCCTGTTACAAAAATCAGATGATTTACCAACTGTGCAAGACACTGGGAAATGGTTTTGCACTTCCACGTGATCCGAGCGTGGAGCACCATAAATTACACAGCAAACACTGTGGGAGCTGAACAGGGCAATTAAAGCAATAAAAGGAATATTGATCAGATGCTATTTCACTTTCCTGTGCTGCCAGAACACATTCAAACAGCACCAGAGATTTAAAAGCAGGAAAATTCAGATAATACAAAAATAAGTGTGGAGGAAAAGCTGTTCCATCACAGTCAATGAGAGCAGTGCCAAATCTATTTGTTGTTTTCTGTTAAAGGGCTGGGCAGAGCAAAACAACCATTTACAAAAACGATGGGAGGAAAAAAAGTTGAAGATTGAAATCTCCTGTTTGGGGCAAAAGATCTTTAAAGCAGCTTGGTGAGGTCATTACAGGAGTAATTTTATACTAAAAGGCTCTGCTATTTTAATGCAGTGACAGCAGAGATTTCCAAGCAACAGAGGTACAGGCACTGTGTTAAAAAACCAAAAACACCCCAGAGAGAGACACAGCTCATGGTGCAGCACTGACCACACCAGGGCAACCACCAATTTCCTGAGCGGGTCAGCACAGAGCTCCTTCCTCCCGGGCTAGGAATGACTCACGTGGAGCCCCAGCAGATCCTCTGATTGTGAAGCACCAAATTAATTCCCATTCCTTCAGGTCGGGCTCAGGGGGACTCCACAGGCATCAGGGAGTAACTCAGAGGAGGAGAAAAGGCTCCCCCAGCACCCCCAAGGGCCGAGGGAGGGGCAGCACTTGCCTGGATGTGCATTTTGATGACGGCTTTGCCAATCAGGGTGGCCCCGAAGAAGGTCCAGAAGGGAACGAGGAAGTGGCCGCACGTTATCCCGGCCAGGTCGAACAGGGGGTTCGGGATCTGCGGAGGGAAAGGGAAGAGGTTCAGGGATTCAGCACACACTGGGGTGAGCAGGGGCACCACAGGCTCTGAAACCCTGAGGAATGAGCAGTTTGCCTTTCTCCAGCTCGGTCCAAAGCTCCTGGGGCTCAGGAGCTACAGAAATGCTGCTGTCACACCACATAACTCTGGGATTCAGCTCCACCACGGCCCAGACAGTCCCATTCTCAGGGTCCCTCCTTACCCCTGCATCCTGACAAAAGCCAGCGGAAAGTTTTCCATGTGAAAAGCACAGAAACCACAGCAAAGCCATTTCGAGTGATTTATCAACTTTTCTCCCTGACAGGCACATCACTCTTGGAAGCCAGTGCTCCAACTGATCCCCAGTGATTTCCAGCTGAGAAACTACACTAAAAACTGGCATTTACAGTCATATGTATCCAGTTTAAAAGCACTGATTAGATTTTATGAAGCATATGCATTTCATTTAAAATTAAACGCCTTTTTTATTATCATTAAACTGTTGGCTTGACTTTTGGTATTGTGATACTATCTGTAAAATATTTTTGAAATGAAACCAAGAAAGTCTCCAAATTCCAACCTTTCAGCCTGCAGTGAAGGGGCAGTGTCTGAGGAGAGGGTGGGAAGCACAGGAGCAGCGTGGTACTGGGGTAACAAACTGCAGGACTGGGGGTGTTTTGTTCCATGGATAATGGAATAAAGGGTGAGGATTGGTGAAGGAGAAAGGATAACAGCACTGCCAGGGCTGACCAGGCACCTGCAGTGTGGGGGAAAGCCAAGCAGGGCTGGACTGGGCTGTTCCAGCCCAGCAATTCAGATTTATGAGCACCCACAGCAGCACCTGCAGAGGGAGAAACCTGAAACGGGCTCTGATCGTGCCCAGAACGGTCCCTGGATGGGCTCCACCCCAAGGCCCTGCCCTGGGGCAGCTGCTCTGGGCAAGGAGCTGGTGAATTGGTGCCCCCCCAGCTCCAGGGTGTTCGGGGCCGGGTGCTTGGAGGGGTTTTGGGGGTTCACCGCAGGTGTCGATGCTCTGGGCAGGGGCTGTGGGGTCAGCCCTGCTCTGAACAGACACCCAGAAGGTCCCCAAGGCCCCAAGGGGGTGTTCCTGGGCTTGGCTTTGAAAACACACACGGACAGAGCTGCCAAAAACCCCCAAAGCCAGGAGGGCGAATTCTCCCAAGTCCCAGGGAGGGCACTCAGGGCTGATTCTTGCTTTGTTCCTTCCCCAGAGCTGCCTTTCCACAGACACAGGCTCAGGACAATCCTGGGGCTCCCTGACTGCCACTCAGCAGCGCTGCACTCGCTCAACCTGGCTGGGTGAACTCACAGAGTTTTAATTTCCAGTTTGATGGTGCTTTTCTGTAGCATTTTGAAGCCACAACTCGACAGCTGGGACAGGATCCCCGCTTTGGGAAAAGTCCTCCAGCCACAAAAAACACATCCCAGAAAACCCTGCCTAAAATCCTCCAGGAAGATGCCAGTTGTAAGTGAAGGAGACCCCTTCCAGCACACAGGGGAGCAGCAAGAGAAGCTCGTGGGGGGCTGCCCTTCTCTGCCTTCCCCTCCCTCAGGTGCCACACAAACACACAGCTCTGCAGCCCTGTTTTTCCCAGCTCTGCATCCCTATTTTTGCCCGGGGCCTCTCCCTTTTCACAGCTGCTCAGTAAACACATCAACAAATCCTCAAGCGTATCCCGGGGCAGGAGCAGGGAAGAAGCTCAGCAGATGTTTAGGAATTACTCAGCAGGAGCTACCAAGTGTTTACAGGTCCCCTCTCCTGTTCACCAGCTCCTTCCTCAGGTTCTCCATTTATCCCCACTCCTGGTGCTGGGACAGGGATGAGCCCCAGGTCACAGGGATGTGCCCCAGGTCACAGAAATGTCCCCTAGGTCACAGTGAGTCAGAGGAGGGAAGGAAGGGAAGGAAAGGAGCAGCCTGAGGGCTGGGAAGATTTAGGATCAGTCTGTAACCTGCAGCCAGCTGAAAAGCTTAGGGAACAGCAGCTCCCTGCAGCAACTCCAAGCCCAGGAATTCTCTCCAGCTCCCGTTTGAGTAACACTTGGTGTTGTCATCTCCACAGTTCAGGGAATGGGGAGGTGCTGGACAGGTGTGGGATGAACACCTCACCCTAAGGCTGTGCTTACCCCACAGGAATGGGACCACGGGGGACCTGCACTGCCTTCCCTGTGATCACATCCCACCGTCTGTGTGGGATGAGCAAAGCACACCATTCCTCCCAGTCTGCATCAAGATTCCAGAGAGACACTTCAACCTCAAATTCCATCCTTTTCTACTCCCAAAGAACAGCATTATCCTACTGCAAGCACTGGAACCCCCTCCCTGGGGGTGCTCCCCTCATCTGCTGCTCGGAGGGAAAACAATCCACCAGCAGTTCGTAGCTCAAGAGCCAGGACTGACATTTCCCTCCTGGTTCCCCAGAGCAGCTTTAGGATCACAGGGGGTGTTTTTCCACCCTTCAATCCATGTGAGCCACTGGATTTGAGGATGCCAAGCACTGTCACCTTGAACACAAACACCTAAAGAAACCCTAGCAGGGCTCCAGGAGATTCCCAAGACAGGTCCCAACATCCAGTGCAGGGGGAATTCCTGGCCTGAAACAGGGACATCCACACTTCTGGAATTTTAGGAATGTCTTGTCAGTTTTCCTCACCTGGACAAACCTCTGGAATCCTCAGTGAACTGCCCTGTTCTTCCAGGTTTCCCCACTCCAGGCTGAACCAGAGGATTAATTAATTAATCTTTTTTCAATGATAAAGCACTGGTGCTGCACCTTTGGGGTCTGATGGGTTAAGGAGGAGACACAACCATCCCAACCTCATCCCCTCCTAAGGAGAACCAGCCCAGGGGTGCAGCTGAAGGAAGGGATAATAAATCAGCTGTGTTTTTATGCAGAATTCCCTGTGTTTGGTTCTAGCCAGGACTGGGGTTTCTCCCTGTTCTTGTACCTGCCAGCCCCACGACAATCCCGTTTCCCTGAGCCCTCCAGAGGGCACAGAACCAGCAAACAACGAATTCCATGGCAAAAACATCCCAGCTGTGCCCAGAAATCCCCCCCATTCCCAGCCCAAACTCACCGAAGCACAGGCCAGGATCCCAAAGAATCCAACCTTCTGCACCAGGTTCTGCACGGCCAGCTTGGCCCGGGAAGCGAAGTCCTGCAGGGAGGAAAACCAAAGCATTCCTGAGGCAAATCCCAGATCTGTGTGTGCTTCCCGTGCCCTCCTTGCTTTGGGATTTTTCTCCCCAGGAATTGGGAGGAATTTCAAACCAACAAGGCCAGGCTGGAGCCCTGGGCTGGGAGGGGGGAGGGGGATATTCCCAGTGCTCCGGGTGGGACTCTGACCACCCACATCCACTGGGTTTGGTTTTCCAGCTGCCCCCCCAGCTTTGGGAACAGGTTTTCCAGGATTTATTTCCCCCTCTCGTTGAAATTCCAGCACTGCTTGTGCCTCCTTCCTTAAGGGAGCAGAGGGAAGGAATTCCTTCAGTGTCCAAAAGGTTCCTTCTCAAACACAATAATCCCATTATTTCTGTTCCCTCAAGCCCAGGATCTTCAGCAAACCCCCCCCCCCAATTCCAGGTACTGGCTCCAACAGACTTGTAAAATTCCTTTAAAATCCAGGAAGCTGGAGCTGAGATCCATTAAAAGCAGGGAAGGTGCAGTCCCAGTGACAGGCTCAGAACGTGCCTTTATTTTGGGATCAGAACTTCCCCCCGAGGCTCAGAGTTTGCCAAATGCTCAGGAGCAAAAAAACACCCAAAAATAAAGATAAATTTTATTATAAAATTGTTATAAAACGTTAAAGAGCAAAAATGTTCTCTCAAGCAGCTTCTTTGAATGGGAGAAGTGAATTTACAAGAGGATAAAATCGTTTGGAGGCAAAACTGTCCCAGAAGTGAAAAGGAGGGTCAGGAATTCCCTGCTCAGCCCACGGGAGGCACAGAGAGCTGGGAATATCTTTGGGAACAGCAAACACGAAAAAATAATGATTAATTCTGGTTTGAAATCCTACAAAGAAGAGATAAAAAGCTGATTTTGCAGGAGCAATAACCACACATTAATGTTTTGTGGGAAAATATCAGAGAAATTACACAAGGAAATGACTTGGATCAATAACGAACGGTATCCGAAATTCCACATTTTACCCCTGAACTGGAGAGTTTAAAAGGTCATTAATTATTGATTAAAGCAACGCCAGGATAATGCAGGAAGTTTAAATTTCTGCCACTTTAACTCTGCCACAGTTCTGGTGAAACCTTCAATCCTACACAGCAGGGCAAGAAAACTACAATTATTTGGCATTTTATTTCAATTCTTTATTTATTTCAAATCTTTATGGCAGATTAAAAAAAAATAGTAATAAATCTGTGCTAAAACCATTTGCTAATTTTACACCCCTTTTCCAAGTATTAGCTTTATTTTTTTCCCATTCCTGTGCTTTAAAACAGTCAAATTCTCAAATTAAAGTCATTGGATAATTCTATTTGTTATTCTTAATGTTTGGGAAAGTAAAACAAATCAAAGCAAATCCTTCAACTGAAAGGAAAAAAAAAAAAAAGCCAAATAAATGAGATTTCCTAATTGCAAATAATTTTATTTTAATCTTAAGGAGAATATAAAACCCCTCTGGAATATTCTGGGAGGGGGAATTTGCTCCCTTTGAGCAGGAGTTGCCCCTCATGGCCCGAATCTCTGATTATAAAATGGAATAAATGGAATAAAGGGAATTATCCCTGTCTGTGGAAAACCTGTTCCAGTGCCCGATTTTTCCCCCCTTATTTCTCAATTCTCAGAGGTTGGAACAATATTTTCATTTTTCTAAGCCAATAAATGAATTTATTTTTTTCCCCACAGCTCCACAAATCTCACTGCGAAGTGTCTTTGTTTTAATTTTCTGTATTAATTGTCACAGAAACTGGAAATAAACTCTCCAGCCAACGACCTATAAACTGACACTTCATTTTAAATAAAATATAGCATTATAATTATGTATAAATTGACTTTTATTAACCGAGGGCAAGCCCAGTGCAACATTTTTAATCAAACTATTTTAAAAAAAACAGGTTCTGCTCACCCACATTTCTTGATTGCTGCAAAACTCAAGGCTGCCTTCAAACTAATTTCTTCCCTCCAGTTAAATAATATTAATAATTATTATTGATATTATTATATAATATTATAGTGACATTAATATATAATAATTAATATTCTATCTTAATTTTAATAATATTAATAGTTTACATTGCCTCCATAGAATGCACATTTTTAAGTTCTAAAAATCTCACTCCAGAACTTTTAATTTCTTTTCTTTTTTTTCTTTTTTTCCCCTTTTTTTCAAACTTTTGGAAGTTTTTTCCAGAACTTTTTTCAGGTTTTCAAGCTTTCAACCTTTTTTTTTTTTTTTCAAACTTTCTAAATAAGCCAAAAGACAAATTAAGGATTTTTTTTTTTTTATTCCCCTATTTCCTACAATTTAATCCCAAAAACCATCAGAAATACAGACAGTGCATTTTTACAACACAATCAGGGGCAGGAATAATTTGCAGGGTGATAAACCCCCAGGTTTGCCACAAAACTACCCATTTACAGGCTGGGCACGGCCTTTATGAAACAAATTCACAGCTATTTCCGTTTGCTCCCTTCCTTAAACCTCTTGTTTTCCAACTCTTTGCGACATCTGCAACAATAAAACCCCTCCAGAGTTTCATTTCTCCGCCAAAACAACCCCCAGTTTCACAATTTTACCTATTTCACAATTTTTTTTTTTTTTATATTCTCTGATATTTTCACATTTGTGAAACGATCTTTTATTTTATTTTTAATTTTTTTTTTTAATCATTTGAGACCAAACGACTTTCGGCGCTTACAAAAAATTAATTGTATAAATTTATATTTTTATATATATATATATATGAAAAAAAGAGAAAAGTCCAGCTACTTACAGGCACCACATTTTGCCCCCAAATTAAAGGCTCTAGAGTGGCCTCCCAGCTAAATGTGATTCATTCTTTTTAGGACATTTTAGCTCGCCGTGTTCCTTTTAGGAGATGGTTTGGGTTGGTTTTTTTTCGGGGGGGGGGGTTGGAAATCCGTTTCCTGTGAGCTCTGCAGAGGGAGGTGGGATGATTAAACATGATTTCACTGGGTTAATCATCACATCCCCACGACTTGGGGGGGACAGGAGAGGCACAAAAGGTCAGGGGTGAGGAGCTGATTCACCAGGCCCAGCCCGAAGGGGGGGTTGGATCTGCTCAAACCCCAGGCAAAGGGGAAGGTTTGATCCTTTCATGGATCCCAACAAAATAAAACAAACCAACCAAAAAAACCCTCCCACACCTCCAAAACGAAGGGGGCAGAGAAGAGGAGTGACATTTTCTGCTGCAAAGTGGGATTTACCACAACGAGCCTCCTTCGAAGGGGCCTCAGGGAGCAAACAGGGAGCTTCTGTCCCTGGGAAAATGTCCTTGCTGACAGTGAATCCTGACTACACAACAGGCAATCTCAACTGCAAGGCTTCAGCCCACCCCTCTGTTTTCCTCCATTTAGAATTTAATCTCTCTCTCTCTTTCTCCCTGGGTGGAGTTGCACAAGCTCCTCTGCCTCGGAGTGAGGAACAAACTCCTCGCTGGATTTAGACAAGACAAGTATCATTTTATGGTTTAATCAGTCATTTCCCCCCTCTTTCCTCCCTAACACTGAGTTATTACCAGGAAGCAGAAGAGCCACAGTTTGTTGTTCACAGTGAAATTGTGAAGCCTCTTTTTATCTCCTCTCCAAGATGGTTGATGGAGCCACAGGGAGCCAGTTGATGGTACCAAGGAAATCTGAATAATCCCTACAGGAACAACCTGAACACTTCCCCAGAGACCTCTTCTCAAAAGCCTGCCCAGATTATACCATGTAACAGTTTATATTCTCCAGCCTGGAGCTGCCATCAGATTTTAGGAGCATCAGGAAAGCCACGACCCCCTCCCATCACAAACCAGCTCAATCCCTGAAAGGCAGGACCCAAACTTCCTGGGATTTGAGGAAAAACTTCTCTCCATTTGGTTTTTTTTCTGCTGTAAATATCTCAAGCACTTTCCAGAAGAAGGGAAGGAACATTTGACAGTAAATTGCATCCCCAGTCCATCGTGTACGTGTTCCCTACTCATCAGATCACCCTGGGCCTTAATGTGGGATGGGGGGACGTCAGTGACGCATTCATGGAACTGCTCCAGCAGGATATTCATCATCTGGCAGATGGTGCCCTGAGCGAGTCAAAAATACATTTCTGGAGGGCCTGGAAGGGGGTTACACAGGATTTGTTATCTGAGAGGAAAACAGGAGCGTGGAGGAACACGGAGAGGACAACAAGGCAAAGAGAGACCTGAAGGGAATGTGCTGCACCTCGATGGTGCCCCAAACCCAGCAGGGCACTGAAGCTGCTGCTGAGATGGATGTTCATCCCAGGGCAGACTCCCCAGTCCAAATGTGGGCCTGGAATGTGATGAAGTGGGCATTCCTTTAAGGTCTGACTATAATTTATATCCCTGTTACAGCATTTTCCTACTGGAAGAAGCGAAACCACCCAAATAACAAGCTCAAGAGGAGAACGCTTTTCCCCCCAAAGATTGAAGCCCATGGGGGAAGGCACCGCCTCAGATTATCCAAATTATAGATTCCTTAACATTTAAAGAGCTGCCTACACAGACAGTGCCCCTCTTTATGTAAACAGCTGAGTTATGTTAAAAATGAGCTGCACAGGATTTTGTTTCTTCTGGCTTTCTGTCCCAACACAATGGAATCAAACACAACTTATGGGAGAATGACCATTTGTGGTCAGGCAGCGGATTCCAGGATTTCAGAGGACTGGGAAGAATTATTAACTCACTGGAATAATGGATTAACTGCAGGGGAGCAGCTCCTCAGAGGTCCCAGCACACATCCCTGCAGAGCAACCTGGAGAGAAGGTGAGAACAGGGATCAAACCCAGCCAACAGTTCATCCCTCAGTGACCATTTCACACAAGACACCAAAGGGAATGGATCTCCGAGGAATTTACAAGCAGGAATGTTTTGCTTGTGGCTCATGACCTCCCACTCCATCAGCTCCAGTGACTCCTGACACTTCAGCCTGCACGGGAAGGGCTCTGGATCTCTATTCCAGCTTTCT